TCTAGCACAAGCAGTAAGGTTTACAGATAGGGAAACTGAGGCTCCAGGGAGGTCAAGCCCCTTGGCCACAGTTCCCGAGAAATGGCAGAGCCGGGATTTGGGGAGTGTGCTCAGAGGCCCACACCTTTAACCCCTGGGAGATGTCAGGAGGCGCCCCGGGTGTTTAGTAGGCCCCCAAGCCAGGGAATTTATTGAGCTCCAGGTAAGCTGAGAGCCCTCCCACGTCCTCCCCACAGATGTGCAACATGCTGGGCTTAGGGGACATGAACGCGGACCAGCTGGCTTCCAAGCTGGAGGAGACGCTACCCGTCATCCGCTCCGTCAGCGAACAGTTCAAGGACCCTGTGAGTCACGGCCTGGCAGGTGGTGAGAGGCTTGGGGGTCGGGGACAAAGCTGGAGCCTGCCCCTCACTGTTCTCTCTTATGCCCTCCAGGAGCAGACGACCTTCATCTGCGTATGCATCGCTGAGTTCCTGTCCCTGTATGAAACGGAACGGTTGATCCAGGAGCTGGCCAAGTGCAAGATCGACACGCACAACATCATCGTCAACCAGCTCGTCTTCCCCGACCCCGAGAAGCCCTGCAAGATGTGCGAGGCCCGCCACAAGATCCAGGCCAAGTACCTGGACCAGGTGTGCCCACCTACCCAGCACCGGCCCAGCCAAGGCACCTCTGCCCCGACCTTCTGCCCTTTCCCCCCACTTCAGATCCTTTTCCCTCATTTTGGCCTTGAAGGACTGTGGCTGGTTTGGCCTGGGTACCTGTGACCCCAGAGAGTGGGAGGTCCAGCCCAGTGGCCTCTGATCTTACTAGCCTTTTGACACCTTAAAGCCTTTGCCCCATATTCTCTCCCTGACCCTGGGAGGCCCCTCGCCCAACCCTATCTACTGACCTACACTCTCCCTGCCCTCCTGCCCCCTGACCTCTGCCTTCTGCCCTCTGCCCTGGCTACAGATGGAGGACCTGTACGAAGACTTCCACATCGTGAAGCTGCCGCTGTTACCCCATGAAGTGCGGGGGGCAGACAAGGTCAACACCTTCTCAGCCCTCCTCCTGGAGCCCTACAAGCCCCCCGGTGCCCAGTAGCATCGCCACCAGCCGTAGCTGCTGCCATTTCACACCTACCCTTCACCCTTTCTACCACCCCCTGGGGCAGAGTTTGCACAAAGCCCCCCCATAGTACAGGGGGAGCCACTTGGGGGGCGGGAGGCAGGGAGGAGGTCTATTCCCCCTGGTGGGGCTAGGGGGCTGTACTTGTCCCCCACCTCTCCCCGCCTCTCACTCTTCAATAAAATGATCTTAAAATTGCAGTATTTGTGGATACAGGGAGGTGGGGCACCTTAACGTACAGTTACACAGGTTGTGCACTGCACAAAAGTATCACATCTAGAGGGTCACATTCACGACAGAGACCTAATAGAGTTGCATGTTTATTGTGGCAACTTTGGAAAGAGGGTGTCTTCAGTAAGGGAGTACCTTTTTCTAGTTCTGTGTGGTTAGAGATGTCCCTAGGGGTCCCTGCTGGGGCTGTGAAGTCTGGAATGGAAGAGAGGGGCATCTGCCCACTCCCTTGGAGGCTCAGAGCGTGGGAACCAGCAGGCCCCTTGGCCAGCCCCAGGCTGGTGGGGAGCGGATTAGGCCGGCAGCGGGCCCAGCACTGCCTGCTGTTTGGTTTGGGAATTAGTGGGCGCCCTGGGCAGAGGTTGGGCCTGCCAGACCAGGGATTAACAGTCTCCACCCCCCAATTCCTGCCCCCATGGGATGGCATCAGCCCTTCCCAGCAAAGGGCTGCAACACGGGGACTGATGAGTGGGCAGGATGGCAGAGGACTCAGGCTGGAGCGGCCCCTGAAGAGTGGTCTGAGTGGCTCAGCACACTAACTGCCTTTGAACTTCAGTTCCCAAAATGAGAACCTAAGTGTAGCCATTCAAAGAGCCATGACACAAACTCACCAGACTGGTGACGTGCAGGCCTGACAGACACCCAATGGGCCCCCTTGTCCCCTGCCCTTCACTCCTCCCTCTGCCACTGCCAGGGCAGCCACTGCCATCCCCACTCTAGAGACTCCAGATGGAGCAACGACCTTTAGAGTTTGCAAGTTCCGAGTCAGAGCTGGTTGAGGTTGGGGGGAACAAGGAGTATTCCTGAGGACACGCGTAAGTCAGAACGTGGTGTTCAGAGTGCGCACATCCCGGATCTGGGCGTTCCCGGGTGTGTGTGTGTGTAGGGGGAACCTCGCCACGAGCCTAGGCGTGTTCCCCCCACACACAACTGCCCTGGGTGTGTGCAAGCGAGTGTGGGCACGTTGGGGCGGCGCATATCAACAAGCATGGTGGCACAGCCCATAGCAAACACCCCAGGCTCCGCGCCAAACTGTCTGGGTTCATATCCCAGCATCCCAGCCATGCCACAAAGGAGATGCATGAGTCACCTGAGCCTCAGTTTCCCTACTTGGATAATGGGAATCACAATAGCGATGACTTTATATGCCGGCTTGTAAGGGAGGATTCGATGAGATGAAACATGCAGCGCCTTTGCGGCACCACCAGGCAAGAATCCGCCAAGGAGCGTTTGTTATTTTTCACTGTTACAATTATGAGGCATGTGAACCAGCCCGGCAACCTGCCTCTGGCCCCTGCGGGAGTCCGGCAGGCAGTCGGAAGTGTATAGGGGCGCCTGAGAGCTGGGGGAGGGGATTTGAGCGGGGGGAGCTAGCAGCAAAATGAGAGCCAGGACATGTCCTATGGAGACGGGGTGGCTGACCCTCAGCAAGATGCCTGCCCCCTCCCCAGGTCTCGCAGCTGGTGGCACCACCCCCAGTCACCCGCTGGTCCCCTTTTACGGGCTGTCTGGCAGCTGGACAGCGGAGAAGCGGTCCAAGGGTGGCCAGCCCGGGCCGGTTCCTAATTACCCCGGGTGGGGCGGACATCTGCCAGGTTGGGAACACGGCGTTCCAGCGGAGGCCTCCGCAGTCCTAGCGCAAGCGGGATTCCTGAGCACTCCAGGTAGCCCTTCCGGGAGCTGGAACCCTGATCCTCCGCCCCTCCCACACCAGTCTCCATATTGATGTCCCCCAGGCTGGGAAGGGGAAGGGGGGGAGTTCTGTTTGTACCAGGCTGGGAGTGCCCGCTTTATAGGTGTATCTATGAAGAAGGAACATCTGTCCTGAATCCATGCCAAATGTGGGGACAAGGTTTTGTGTCCCCAAGCTTGTGTGTTCATACCTGTGTGTATGAGCGTGCGCCCGCACATACACAGCGGTGAGGGGCTGTCTTATGTGTCGATGTGCAAATGCAGGCGAGTTTCCCAAGGGGTTAAAGTCGGTGGGACTTTTGAGGTGATAGCTGCTGGGTATGTCTTTGCAACACTGGTGAATCTAAGGGAAGACCAGGGCCCCACTCTGCCCCCGCACTGTGTGCCACTGCATTGAGGGGAGGTGTTCCCGCATTTGGCGAATGATCATGAGTGTGTTTTTGTGCAGGGGAAACCGGGACTCAAAACTCCACGCCATGGTGTATGGCCGTGCGTGTGAAGGCATTCTGAGTGGAGGCATTCTGAGTGAAGGTCTGAGTGGAGTCTGCGCTTGGCTGGTTGTGTGTCTTTGCTACATGGTGTGATCATGAGGGAATGCCAGCCCCTGGGTCCCTCCTATGTGGCCACTGGGAGCATTGTGCCCAAGAGCCAAGAGCCTGGTGTGTCAGGGTCCATCTGCCTTGTATCTGCATAGTGGCAGCTGGGGTAGAGCTGGGTGTGCTTCGTGTGATGCCAAAGTCGTTGTGACAGTGAGTACTGCCATCTGGGTCACCGTGGTTATATGAGGCTGTGTTAGGGGAAGCTGAATTTGTGTCTGGATCTACGATGTGACAGTATGTGGTTGGTTGCAAGTGACTACGGAGTGCCCCAGCCTCCCTGAGCCGTGTGTGTGTTTGTATCTGGGGCTGCGAAGGAAATAGTCCCTGTCCCCTCCCCAAGCTCTAGGTTCCGATCCATTGGACTGGCCAGTGACTGGCAGAGGGGGCAGGGAAGAGAAAGGGAGGGTAGGGCGGACACACACCAGGTAACAAACTGGCGGGACTTCTTCAAACAAAGTTCTGAGGCCACAGCCCAGCCAAGGTGGGAGGGACAGGGAGGGACTTCCCACGCCCACTCCCCAGCCCCCTCCCACCTAGGGTCTGGCTTCAGCCCCACCCAACACTGAAGCCATCCGCCCATTCTGTCCCTGTCCCTGTGTGTCCCTGCATTCGCCACCTTCAACACAAGGTGAGACAGGCCCAGGCCTGGGGGGAATAGGGGACTCTGGGGGAACAGGAGACCTGTGGGCAGGAATCCATCCGGAGTCCTCCTGGAGTGGGAGTGGAGGGCTTGGAAGGAATGGACTTGGTCAAGGTGGATCGGGAGAAGGGAGAAGAGGGAGAGCCGGAGAGCCTAGCCAGGGGCCATTAGGTGGGAGGTGGACAGGCTGTGGCCGGCCTGCTGGGGGAGAGGGCCTGGGGCGGGAGGCTCAGGCACAGGACTTCAGACGGAGTGTCGCCGGGAAGAAAGGGCCAAGACTGGGAGCTGGTGGGGAGAGGGGGAGCCAGAGGCTGAGGGAGGGGGAGAGGGAAGTTTGTGGCCCTGAGACTAGGTGACAACCAGGTGAGGAGTATGGGACGGGGTAGAGGGCGACTCAGGAGCTGACTGCATGGACCCAGGGGTCTTGTGGGGAGGGGGAGGCGGATCGAGGGAGACAGCCTGGGCAAAGTAGATGCAGGAGGTTGAGGCCAGGTGTCCAGGGGAGGGGGACAACCTGAAAGACGGGGCTTGGGGACGGAGGCTGGGGGCTGAGCGGGGCTGGGAGGAAGAAGGAGCGTGGGCAAGAGCCGGGACCGAGGGGGGGCGGGGGGGGCACCGGTGGGGCCGCTGCGCTCAGTCAGCCGCGCACGTCTCACCCACGTCTCTCCCCGCGCGGCCCGCACCCCAGCCGTCCGCCTGGCCCTTGGCCCCACCTGCCCGGCGCCGCGATGACCGTCACCTACACTGCCCGGGTGGCGAACGCCCGCTTTGGTGGCTTCTCACAGCTGCTGCTGCTGTGGCGCGGGAGCATCTACAAGCTCCTGTGGCGCGAGCTGCTGTGCTTCCTCGGGTTCTACATGGCGCTGAGCGCCGCCTACCGGTGAGGCCGCCCGCGGAGGGGTGCGGGGTGCCGGGTGCAGGGCTGCCCGCGGAGGGGTGCAGGGTCCGGGGTGCGGGGTGCCAGGTGCAGGGCCGCCCGTGGAGGAGTGCGGGGTGCCGGGTGCGGGGTCCGGGGTGCCGGGTGCGGGGCCGCCCGCGGAGGGGTGCTGGGTGCCGGGTGCGGGGCCGCCCGCGGAGGGGCGCGGCCGGCAGAGGGGACCCGGCACACGGGTCTCGCTCGTGACCCCGCGATCCCTGCCCCGCAGCTTCGTGCTGACCGAAGAGCAGAAGCGCTACTTCGAGAAGCTTGTCATTTACTGCGACCAGTACGCCAGCCTCATCCCCGTCTCCTTCGTACTCGGTGCGGTCGAGCCCCTGAGTCCCACGTTCTCAAGCCCCTGAGAAACCCCTGTCCTTTCCTGCTCCGCTGAGACTCCGCCCTCAAATCCGACCCCCATAGGCCCCTCCTGTTCCCCCCCTCCGCCCCATTGTTGGAGCTACACCATGAAGAGGCCAGGTGTGGCCCTGCACTCCAAGACCTCGGATGTCACCTGGTCACTGAGCCCTCTGAGAGCTCTATCTCACCCATAAATTTATTCCTAGTCACCTCGGGGATTTCCACCTGTGTCTGCATGTGATTACTAGTGCCCCCCCACACACATGCTGAGCGCCAGGGACCCGCGCTAGGGACCCCATATGACTCCATACTGAGGCATTTCCCTGCCAAGTCCTGGCCCCCACACCCCAGTAACCTCCTGTGACCCCAGCCTCCCTCTCACCGCATGAATGGGGTGACCAGCCTATCCAACTATCCAATGCTCCCTGATGGAGACCCTGTGCCCAACCTCTTCAGGAGTTCCTGGCTTGGGGGGGCTGGTGTGGCTGTTGTCACAAGCCTGCCCAGGTGTCCCTGATGTAACTCCGCGAACCAGGTGCACCCTCCTCAAGTTTCAAGTCCCTGTGTCCCCAGCGAATGGCTCCCTATGACTAGGATGACAACCTGTCCGTTTGTCCCTAACGTGGCTCCATCCCCATACTGCGGTCCCAATCCCCTTCCAGGTGACTCCCAAGTAGCCAGTGATTCAACCTGCTCCGACCTTTCTGACCTTGGGGCTGGATCCTCAAGTGCCCAGCCAAGGAGGCCCCGGGTGGTCAGCGTGACCAGCCTGCTCGGGTACCTCTGACGGAGACCCTGTGTCGCCCCTCCTCCCGCGACCTGGGCCCCCAAACCCCAGGCCTCGGCGTCCCCGCTGATCCCCTATTCCCGGCTCTCCTGCAGGGTTCTACGTGACGCTGGTGGTGCACCGCTGGTGGAACCAGTACCTCTGCATGCCGCTGCCCGACGCGCTCATGTGCGTCGTGGTGGGCACGGTGCACGGGCGCGACGAGCGTGGCCGTCTGTACCGGCGCACGCTCATGCGCTACGCCGGGCTCTCGGCGGTGCTCATCCTGCGCTCGGTCAGCACGGCGGTCTTCAAGCGCTTCCCCACCATAGACCACGTGGTGGAGGCGGGTGAGTCCCCGGCCGGGGGCGGGGCCAGGACGGAGGGCGGGGCGAGTAACGTCCGACCTCGCCCCTGCAGGGTTTATGACCCGCGAGGAACGCAAGAAGTTCGAAAACCTGAATTCGTCCTACAACAAGTACTGGGTGCCCTGCGTCTGGTTCTCCAACCTGGCGGCGCAGGCCCGGCGCGAGGGCCGCATCCGTGACAACAGTGCCCTGAAGCTGCTGCTTGAGGTGGGCCCGCCAGGAGGTCATTCATAGAGAATAACGGGGATATGGTACCCCGCAGTTGCGTCAATAGCGGGCCACGAGGCAGATCCCAACACCCCTACCCGGTGTGCCCCAGGGCAGATTCCAGCACCGTGGAGGGCAGCCCCTAGGTACACAATGCTGTCACCCCAGGTGTACACTCACCACCAAATGCCTTCCCTGGAGCCCCCAGAGGCGCAATTCCACCTCCCACCAGGTGACCACCCACCTGCATCCCAGGTACCCACAACCTTCATGTGTTCAGGCCCTCTCATGACCTGTATCCGCACCCCCCCCCCAGGAGCTGAATGTGTTTCGGGGCAAGTGTGGGATGCTCTTCCACTACGACTGGATTAGCGTACCCCTCGTCTACACCCAGGTAACCCCGACATGCCTCTGTTTATATTTGGTGTCAGAGATCCTGATGCAGTGGTCTCAAGGGGAAACTGAGGGCCAGCTAAGACCCCATCCCAGGCCAGGCGCATGCCTGTAATCCCAGCACTTTGGGAGGTCCACGCGGGAGGGTTGCTTGAGGCCAGGAGTTCAAGACCAGCCTTAGCAATATAGCGAGAAACCGTCTCTACAACAAATAAGAAAAATTAGCCAGGCGTGGTGGTGCGGACCTGTAGTCCCTGGTACTGGGGAGAGTGAGGTGGGAGGATTGCTTGAATTCAGGAGTTCGAGGCTGCCCTGAGCTATGATCGTGCCACTGCACTCCAGCCTGGATGACAGAGTGAGATCTTGTCTCAAAAAAAAAAAAGAGAGAGAGAGAGAGAGAGAGAGGAGAGACCCCATCTCAGTGATGCCCAATCTTGGTCCGGGTCTCTCAACGCCCCCCTGAGGCCTGGAGTAAACCCTGACCTGCAGGCCTGCCCCACCCTGGCCCCAGGTGGTGACCATTGCAGTGTACAGCTACTTCCTGGCTTGCCTCATCGGCCGCCAGTTCCTGGACCCGGCGCAGGGCTACAAGGACCACAACCTGGACCTGTGCGTGCCCATCTTTACCCTCTTGCAGTTCTTCTTCTACGCTGGCTGGCTCAAGGCGAGTGAGGCCTCCGAGACAGGGGGTTCCGGGGCTGGGGCAGGCGGGGGGTAGTCAAGTTTCCCCGGAACTCCCCCCTCTCCACTCAGGTAGCCGAGCAGCTCATCAACCCCTTCGGAGAGGACGACGACGACTTTGAGACCAACTTTCTGATCGACCGCAACTTCCAGGTGAGACTCCGCGTAGCGACAATCCCTGAGCGCCCAAAGCGATCCTGGCCCCACGCCCTTGCCAAGACTTGCCCAGGCCTTGCCCCAAGCCATCCGTCACCCTTTGGTCCCCACGCTCCCACGCACCCCGAGGGGTCCACCCCTGGGTCCTGGCGCGCTGCCCAGCCCCGACCCCGCCCTGCGCGTCCGCACCCGCAGGTGTCGATGCTGGCGGTGGACGAGATGTACGACGACCTGGCCATGCTGGAGAAGGATCTGTACTGGGACGCCACCGAGGCTCGCGCCCCCTACACGGCGGCCACCGCCTTTCTGCTGCAGCAACCCTCTTTCCAGGGCTCCACCTTCGACATCACGTGAGCAGGGGGCGGCGGGGGCGGGGCTTGGGGCTCGGAGGGCGTGTCTGGTTGAGAGGGGCTAAATTCTGGAGATTTGGGAATGAGAGAGAAAGTCCCTGAGGATTGTGAGGGCAGAGGGTGAGCTAGGGGTCAGGGGCGGGCCCAAGGTCTGAGACTGGGACACTCATTGGAGACACAGCTAAGGGGTGGGGTCGGAGAGGATTGGAAGGGCCAGAGGTGGTACCCACGGAGCCCGGGCGGAGCCACGACTGACTCCTTCGAACTTTGCGCAGAGCCCGAGAATGAGACCAGGCTCTGGGTGGAGGGGACAAGGTCTTTGGGGATAAGTGAGACAAAGGGGGGGGCGGAGCCAGGGAGATCGGCGTGCCTTGAACTCGGTTCTGTCAATCAACGAGAGCGGCGAGGCCAAAGCGCCGACCCACTGTCGGTCCCGCAGGCTGCCCAAAGAGGACATGCAGTTCCAGCGAATGGAGGGCTTGGACGGGCCCCTGGGCGACTCGCAGGGCGACTTCCTGCAGCGCTTCCTGCCGGCGGGCACGGGCATGGCCGGAGCAGGCCTGCTGGGCCGGCGCCTGTCGCTGCTGCGCCGCAAGAACAGCTGCGTGTCCGAGGCGTCCACCGCCGCCAGCTGCGCGTGCGCGGGCGCCCCCGACGGCACGGCCCCGGAGTGCAGCTGCGGGGACCCGCTGCTCGACCCCGGCCTGCGAGACCCGGAGCCTGAGCCCCCGCCCCCCGCGGGTCCCGAGCCGCCTGCGCCCCTCCCCGGGCCCGCCGCTGAGCCCTTCACCGCCGTGCCCATGCCCGCGCCCCGGGGGCCCGCGCCGCCCTGGCTGCCCAGCCCTATCGGCGAGGAGGAGGAGAACATGGCTTGAGATCTTCGGCCCCAGGACCTGGAAGGACAGGGCGCCGGGGCCCCGCGCGCGCAGCACACGCGCAGCGGCCTGGACCTGCGCCAGCCTCGTGCGCCTGCAGAAAGCCCACCTGCCCGTTTAGACCGGCTCCCGCTGCCCGCGTGGGTCTGGCGCTGTGCTAAGGACCGGGGATTCCTCAGCTTTGAACAGCCTGCCCTTGTCACCGGCTCCATTTCCCACGTCCCCACGGCCTGTGAGGCCTCTACCAGTGTGTCTTGCCTTTATGGTTTCCTGCAAATGGAAATGTGAGTGCCTACCTCAGGGAGTGGCTGTGAGGATGAAATGAAAGGATGGCTTTAAAGCATCTGGTATACAGTAGGTGCTCAATAAATTGTTAGTGGTTTTTACTTAAATGTTGTTAGCATGACTTCTCCTGCAAGGCATTATGCTAAGATTTGTGAATTCTTTTTTTTTTTTTTTAAAGAGACAGGGTCTCGTGCTCTGTCACCCAAGCTAGAGTGGCCCCACAGTGGCCCCACCATAGCGGAGTGAGCCACCAAACACGCCCTTCTTCTTCCAGATTCCCAAATTCTGCTTTCTGAAATACCCACATCAGTGCCCCTGGCTTGGTGCATTCATGAATGGACCACCCACTGTCCCAGAACCACAGCTCCCTCTTGCCCCAATGCTTGGCATTCTCAAATATCCCCTCAGGACTCCAGGTCTTAATTTAAATATAGGATGACGACTCCTGAATCTAGAAATGCAACCAGCATTCCTACCCTGACTGCAGATTCAGAGAGCCAACCGCCCCTCCACCGACAGAGATCTTACCAGCACTTGGAACAGAACGCCCGTGACAACCAGCTCCCAGGCGGCTCCCTACCTGCCCGGCCTTGCCTGTTAGCTTTGTCCTTCCTGGTAGAGGCCAAAACCTTGGAGTTATGTGGACTCCTCTTTCTCTAACCAAGCCTACACGTGAACCCAGCAGCAAGGCCTATCAGTTTGCATCATTCTGGAACAAACTGTATCCAGAATGCAACCTGGCCAGAGCCCCTCCTATCACCCACCTGGACCAGCTACCCTCTTCCCTGGTCCAGCTTGGGGCTGTCACCTCCCCTAGTCTGTTCCTCCCACAGTGGCCACCAGAGGGCAGCAATGAACATCTGAGTCAAGTCAAGTCTCTCCTTTGCTTAACCGCTGCATGGCTCCTACTTTAGTTAGAATAGAAGCTACAGTACCGCCTGCAGCCCCACAAGGCCCTGAACAATCCGCCCTCATCTGCTCTCACTCTGTCACTCACTCTCCTCTAGCCACTCTGGCCTCCTCACTGTCCCTCTTACCCACCAAGCAAGGTCTCAGCTCAGGGCCTTTGCACATGCTGCTCCTCTGCCTGGATCACTTTGCTCTAGATACATACATAGCTCCTCCCCCCCCTCCTTCCAGTCTTCCCTTAAATGATGTCACTTCTTTGGTGAGGCCTCCTTGCCTTGCCTTTTATTCCAAATTGCCACCTCCCATCCATATCCACCACACGTACCCCCAACACTGCGGCCTGCTTTATTTTTTTCTGTGGCACTTCTCACATCCAACTTTTATTTTATCTCTTTTTGTTCTCTGCCTCCCCTAGTGGGAAATGTCAGCTTCACAAAGGCAGGCATTTTTGTCTGATGCTTCTTCAAAAACCACAACACACGTACATGCAAGCATGATTCTTACCTCTCACTGGGTGCTATCAGTCACTCACACTTTAGTAAGAACACAGCCAGGCTTTTCTTCCGAGCAATGGTCTGAGCCCCTGGCCCACCTTCTCTTCCTCATTTTTGTGCGCCCAGAATCCAGCCAGGGCAGATTGAAAGTCTTTATTCTTCTTCTCAAATATAAAATCAGACTCTCCCCAGATAGCACATTAACTCCGGGGAGAAAATCAAGGATAAAAATCACATTGCTAAAAAGGACAGGGCCTGTACCTGCCACCTGCCCTCCCCACTCCCCAGTCTGGGAGAGCACAGGCCAGAGGTCATGGCCTCAAGACTCTCAAGCAGCTGGCTGGGCCCCGATTCTAGATGTCAAGTGACTTGGAAGACTCCAGGGTGGATGAAGCCCCGGCTGGCGGGGGAAGGCGGCAGGACCCTGAGGTGTGTCAGTGCTTGTCGACAGGGCGGAGGTTCAGAGATGCCAGGCGTCCCAGGGGTCCACGGCGAGCGTTGGTGGCCAGCCGCTGCTGCGCCAGGAATGACTGGGCGTGGGCAGGTGCCCGCTCTTCCCCAGCTCGCTGCTGCAAGGCCATGCCCTAAAGGGAGGCGCGGTTGGGGTCAGGTGAGCACACGGGCCCTCCTGATACTCTACCCGTGGCGACGGCACACTCACCATATTATACCAGGCACTGATGAGCAGCCTTTCTTCCTGTTCCCGCTGACTTCGACTTTTCTCAAAGTCCATCTGCCAAGGAGGCAAGTGTCAGGGGCCTGGGTGTGCTGGGGGCAGCACAAAGGGACAAGGACACCCACCTCCAGGTGTCGGATGCGGACATCTCGCTCCCGGAGCTGCGTCCTCAGGGACTGGAGTTCCAGGGGTGGCCCCTTGGGTGGCAGCTGCTTGGGTTCCAGGGTCTGTATGACCTATGGGTTGGGGCAGTCACAGCCAGGTGACCTTGGCCTCCAAGGCCCCTTGAACCCACTGGGGTGCGTTAAACGTGGCAGCCTGTGGCAGTGGGGAAGCTTGCAGACATCTGTGCCATGGTGGAGTGTGACAGGTGTGTGTGTGGGGGGGGGCAGAGCCATGCAAGCTGGCAGGAAGTGTGAATCAATGGGGGCCACAGAGAGGCGTGAGCCTTGGCAGGAGGCCCATGGGGACACCCAGTGTCCTCACCGTGCGCGCCTTGTCCACGTAGTGGCGATAGCGCTCCTCCATGGCCCGCAAGTCCGCGTCCTTCTTCTGCAGGCTGTGCTGCAGCTCCTCGATCCGCCGGGCTGCTGGGGAGACAGGTGGCCCCTCAGCTCCACGCCACCAAGCTCGGGGCTCCCCCTGCCCTCTGGCCACTGGCTCCTACTTACTGCTGCTGTCGGCGGGCGGCTCCAGCTCTTCAATGTACTCACGCTTCCGCTGCAGCTCCAGATCCGCCTCATGCAGCTTCTGCCTGTGGGCAGGGGTGGGTGCATTGGGCTGACCTCCAGGCCAGCCCCACCCCACCCCCTCGACAGCTAAAAGTGCCTCTGCATAGCTGCAGAGACCCCTCTGCCTGTTCCCTGTGCCTGGGGCCTGTGTGTCCTGGTCACACCACCTCTTCGGCCATTGGAGCCACAGCCATCCATCCCTGAGCCAGGTGGCCCCTGGACCAGCCCCTCTCTGTCCACTTCTCCCCACCCCACAGCCCCCAAGCAGGACCAGCCACCATCACCCTTGGACAGCCTCTTACACTCTCAATCTCTCAGTTCCATTCTCTACCTAGACACCAGGGATCTTTCTAGAATGCAAATCTCTTACAACAAAAAGAAATGCAAGCTAAAACTTTATAGTTCTCCATGTGTGGCAAAACACCAGGCATCCGTTCTCCCTAGATGAAACTACTGTGCACTGCATGGAGAAAGAACACGGTGGAATATCTAATAGTGAACTTTCGCCATCAGCTATGTCTACAAAAATGACAAAGGCACGTGTCCTTTTAGCCACCAATTCCACTTTTGTGATAGATCTGCGTGCAGATAATGAATGTACAAGGTTATACTTTGTTGCATTGTTTGAAATTACAAATATCTAGAAAGGATGAGTTAAATACATTATGATATCCAGTACCAAAATGCTACAGACCAGTTGTCTTCTTCTTTCTCCTAGACAGAGTCTCGCTCTGTCACCCCTGATAGAGGACAGTGGCATCATGGTAGCTCACTGCAACCTCAAACTCCTGGGCTCAAATGATCCTCCTGCCTCAGCCTCATGAGTAGCTGGGATATTACAGGTGCGCGCCAGCCACAGTGCCCACTTAATTTGTCTATTTTTTGTAGAAACGGGGTCTTAACTCTTGCTCAGGCTGGTCTTGAACTCCTAAACTTAAGCAATCCTCCCTCCTCAGCCTCTTAGAGTGCTAGGATTATAGGTGTGAGCCACCGTGCTCGCCTGGCTGACCAGCCCTTCTTGACCTGAATTCCACAAAGGAATTATACCCTAATACTCCCAGGCATCCGTTCTCTGTAAGAAAATACAGCTGGCCCTGTGTGTGTGTGTGTGTGTGTGTGTGTGTGTGTGTGTGTGTGTGGTGGGGGGTTTCCATGACTTTTACATCTGTGGGTTTAACTCAACTAGGATGGAAAATATTGGGAATTGAACATGAACCAACATTTTTCCTTGTCATTATTCCCCAAACAATATGGTATAACAACTATTTCTTATAACAAATTTGGTATAACAACTATTAGCATTTACACTGTATTAGGCATTATAAGTAATCAAAAGATGATTTAAAATATGCAGGAGCGTGTGCATACGGTATATGCAAATACTACACACTTCATATAAGGGACTTAGGCATCTGAGGATTTTGGTGTCCAAGGGAGTCCTGGACCCAATCTCCCATGGATATCGAGGGACAACCGTCATTTCTCCTGTTCTCTGACTCAGCATTCTATCCCTGGCAGATGTGAGAAAATAGTCACATGAATCATTTTTTGTAGGGCCTAATTTTCCTATGGAATCCCAGTTGACAGAGGCTGCTGCACTTATAAAAAATATTAATAAGGGCCGGGCGCGGTGGCTCACGCCTGTAATCCTAGCTCTCTGGGAGGCCGAGGCGGGCGGATTGCTCGGGGTCAGGAGTTCAAAACCAGCCTGAGCAAGAGCGAGACCCCGTCTCCACTATAAATAGAAAGAAATTAATTAATATATATATAAAAATCAGCCGGGCATGGTGGCGTGCTGTAGTCCCAGCTACTCTGGGAGGCTGAGGCAGGAGGATCACTTGAGCCCAGGAGTTTGAGGTGTGCTGTGAGCTAGGCTGACGCCACGGCGACTAGCTCTAGCCTGGGCAACAAGCGAGACTCTAAAAAAAAAAAAATATTAATAAGGACTCTCTCATGTGTTTGGAGAAATTTCCCAGTCGTCTCATTAAGTAGGACAAGCAAAGTGCATGCTAGCACATATTATATGCTACCTTTTTGTGTAAATGAAGACTAGAAATAAAAAATCTATATTAATATTTCTTGAATTTCTTTTAAAAACTCTGGAAGATTTCCATAATAAACTAATAGGAATGGGGATGGAGTGGAAACTGAGTCAATAGGGGCCCACTGGGAGGTATGCTTCTTCCCATTACCCCCCCAAATCTGGGAGAGCAAAGCTGTATAAATCTGTTTACGACTTTTTGTTCGTTCATTTGTTCTAATGAGACTCGAGGTCTCACCATGTTGCCCAGGCTGGTCTGGACTCCTGGACTCAAGTGATCCTACCACCTTAGCCTTCTGAGTAGCTGGGACTGTGGGCATTCATGGGCCCAACTGTTTGGGGTTTTGAACCATAAATGTGAGAGCTATTTAAAAATAGTTTCTGGCCAGGTGCAGTAGCTCATGCCTGTAATCCCAGCACTTTGGGAAGCTGATGCAGGAGGATCGCTCGAGGCCGTAAGTTCAAGACCAGCCTCGGGAACATAGCAAGACCCTATCTCTACAAAAACATTTTTAGAAATTAGCCAGGTGTGGTGGCATGGGCCTATAGTCCCCTGTAGTCCCAGCTACTCGGTAGGCTGCGGTGGGAGGATCATTTGAGGCCAGGAGTTTGAGGTTGCAGCAAACTATGATCATGCCACTGCACTCCAGCCTGGACAACAGAGGTAGACCCTGTCTCTAAAAAAAAAAAAAAAAAAAATTCTTTTTAAAAAAACGTAAAAGGGCGACTATTACTTTATCATACTACCTTCCTGAAAGTCTCTCCGTGGTTTGACATTGTTCCCCGCAGTGGTCCATACTCCTTCTCTTGGCCTATAAAGCCCCACTTGACCTGGGCCCTCAGTCTGTATTTCAGCTGACTCTGTCCTCACTAACCATCTCCCCCACCAGGATGCCCGCTCTCTGCTACTCACAGGTGTTCCTCCAGCTTCCGCTTCAGCAGGATGGGCTGGGGGGGGGGGAGAGAAGACACAGATGAGGGGGGGCAGGTCCAGAGGTCCGAACCCCTTCCCAGGGTGAGGGGAGGGGGCGCCATGGTACTTACAATGGCCTGTATGGGGCACCGGGCAGCAGGGGAGAGAGAGAGGGGGGTTACTGGGGGGCGCGAGAGAGGGCCAGGCAGGGAGGAGGTGGGCACTCACGTCCTCGGTCTTGCCCCCCTGCTCCTGCAGGGCTTTCTGCAGGTCCTCCACCTGGGCCCGCAGCTCCGACAGCTGCTGCTGGTTCAGCCTGCGTGGGTGGGGGGCGACTGAGTGCCTGCGCCCCCTGCGCGCACGCGGGAACCCCTGCGCGCCCCCCGCCGCCCGGCGCTCACCGGTGCTGAGTCTCCAGCCCGTGGCGCGCGCGGTTGGCCTCCTCCAGGTGGCGCTGCAGCTCCTCCTGCCGCTCCCGGTCGGCCGCCTCCTGCCGGCACAGCCGCTTGTTCTCCAGCTCCAGCCGCAGGAGCGTCTCCCTGCCGACCCGGGAGCAGTGAGCGGGCCCGGGGACGGGTCACCCGGCACGCCAGCTCGGGGTCCGGGGCGGCTCGGCAGGGGGACCGGCGAGGGGAGCGAGGGGTGGGGCGGAGCCCTGGGGAAGAGCCCAGCCGGACCATGGGGCAGCGCTCGAGGACCTAGGAGCGCACCAGCCTGCGGGGCCGCGGCCAAAGTGGGCGGGGCTCTAGGCTGGGCCGGAGGGTGGAGCCATGCAGGGGCGGGGCCACAGGGGTGGGTTAGAACGCGCGTGACGGGGCCGCAGGAACGAGAAGAGCTGGGGTGGGAGAGTAATCCCGGCAGGGCACAGGGGATTGAATTTAGCAGGGGCTGGCTACACAGAGGACACGGCTGGATCCTGGGGGGGGGGCCCAAGAGCAAAATGGGCGGGGCTAGGGTGTAGGGTTTTTTTTCCACAGGGAGTGGAGCCAGGTGGGTTGGACCTAATTTGTGTATTGAGGGTCGATCCTACCCCACCTGGTAGAGCTAGGGCCCAGGCAGGTAAGAGCAGAGTTGGGAGTGGGCAGGCCCACGAGCCTGACTAGGACCTGGAGCTGAGACCAAGCGACCCGTGGTAGTGATCGTGAGAGCACTGGGGCGGGGCTGAGGGCCTTGGCAGGCCTGGCTAGGCCCAGAGCTTTGAGCGACCCCACAATATACCTGAGTTCTGCAGGTAGAATCTCCGCTGCTAAGTTCTCCACGGCAGGTGAGGTGGGATCAAGCGAGGGGTCTGGAGAATGTGAGAAGTCTTCAGGCCTCTGTGCACCCTTGTCCCTGCCCCTAGTCCACTTTCCAAGGATCATCTTTGGGGGCTCCAGTTCCTCCAAAAGCCTGGCTTGACGCCAGCTGTACCCCAAGCTTGGTAGGGAACTGCGTGTCCAGGGTATGCTTCTGCCCCACCCTTCTCTCTGATCTTGTTACCTCTTTCTGGCCACCTCTAGCCTGGCCTAGCTCTGCCCGCGGGCTAGACAAGCCCTGGGACACAGTATATTCTGCCTGCCTGAACGGCACCCCAGGCCAGGTAAGGCTCCAGGCCACCCCTCCTCCAGGCCCTGGGATGGGGCTCCAGCTCACCAGCCTGGGTCAACCCCCGCGGCTGCAGCTGGGCACAGCGCAGCTCCTCATTGGCCTCCCGCAGGGAGTCCCTTTCTGCCAACAGCCTCTGCAGGAACAGGGTGCAAGATGCCACATGGGAAATAGGCTACCCCCAGGATAGGCAGGGCAGGCTTGGGCCATGGGACCTCACCTCCTTCTCCTTTGCCACTGACTCATACTTTTCCTCCAGGTTGCGACACTCAAATAGCCATTTCTCGGCCTTCATGGCCTCTTCTTGCCGCTGGCCTTGCAGTTCTTGCACCTGCACAGAGGGGAGGGTTGGAAGGAGGGGCAGGGACTGAGTACAGACTGTAATTTTTCCATTTTATGATGGTGCTTTCCGCTGTGTATATTAACGGTGAGAGCCCACACAATCATTCTGGTTTTCGCTTTCAATAAATTACAATCTCCAATCAATTACATAAGCTATTCAGTACTTTATTATAAAGTAGGCTTTATGTTAGATGATTTTGCCCATCTGTAGGCTAAGGGAAGTGTTCTGAGCACATTTAAGGTAGGCTAGGCTAAGCCATGATGTTCAGGTTAGGTGTATTCAATGCGTTTTTTTGTTTGTTTGTTTTTTTTGAGACAGAGTCTTCGTTTGTCGTCCTGGGTAGAGTGCAGTAGAGTGGCGTCATCATAGCTCACTGCAACCTCAAACTCCTGGGCTAAAGGGATCCTACTGCCTCAGCCTCTTGAGTAGCTGGGGCTACAGGTCTGTGCCAAGGTACCCCGCTAATTTTTCTATTTTTAGTAGAGATGGGGCCTCCCTCTTGTTCAGGCTGGTCTCAAACTCCTGAGCACAATCAATCCGCCTGCCTCGGCCTCCCAAAGTACTAGGATTACAGGCGTGAGCCACCTCGCCTGGCCTTAAATACATTTTCTTTTTTTTTTTTTAATTTTTTTTATTCCTTTATTTTTTTTTTTCATTTTCAGTTGGCCAATTAACGTTTTTTTATTTTATTTTATTTTTAGTAGAGACAGGGTCTGGGCTCTTGCTCAGGCTGGTCTTGAACTTCTGAGCTCCAACGATCCACCCGCCTCGGCCTCCCAGAGAGCTAGGATTACAGGCGTGAGCCACCTCGCCTGGCCTTAAATACATTTTCGACATGATAGTTTCAACTTACGATGGGTCTATCCAGAGGTAACCCCATGTAAGTCGAAGAGCATCTGTACAAAGTGAAGGAGTGGGGCTGGGGGGACTCGGCTCAAAGAACTTGGAGGGTTGCAGCTTAAGGGCAGGGAAGTGTTGGGCTTACAAACCCAGGAGGGATGAGTGCCTGTAGTCCGGGCTACTCGGGAGGCTGAGGCAGGAGGATGGCTTGAGCCCAGGAGTTTGAGGTTGTTGTGAGCTACGAAGATGCCACTGCACTCTAGCCCAGGCTGCACTCTAGCCTAGGCGACAGAGCGACACTGTCTTAAAAAACAAAACAAACAAAACAAAACAAAAAAACCAGAAGGGTCGGGCGCGGTGGCTCACGCCTGTAATCCTAGCACTCTGGGAGGCCGAGGCGGGCGGATTGCTCAAGGTCAGGAGTTCAAAACCAGCCTGAGCGAGACCTCGTCTCTACCATAAAAATAGAAAGAAATTAATTGGCCAACTAATATATATAATATAAAAATCAGCCGGGCATGGTGGCTCGTGCCTGTAGTCCCAGCTACTCGGGAGGCTGAGGCAGGAGGATCGCTTGAGCCCAGGAGTTTGAGGTTGCTGTGAGCTAGGCTGATGCCACGGCACTCACTCTAGCCTAGGCAAGAAAGCGAGACTCTGTCTCCAAAAAAAAAAAAAAACCAGAAGGGAGCAGCCTGGATGGAGGTACTAGACCCAGAGGGCGTGGCCTACATGAGGGAGGGAGGGGTTCAGAGCAGCGTGGAGGGCGGGCCAAAGTAAGAGGGGGGCGCTGCGGGGGGCGGGGCCCTACCCTAGTCCCGCCCCCGCACCTGCCGCCGCTGCGCCTCTAGCTGGGCGCGGAGGGAGCCGGCCCTGCGCAGCTCGTCCTCCAGCTGCCGCGTGCGCTCGGCGTGGCTCGCGTTGCGCTCCTCCAGCTGCCGCACCTGCCGCCGCAGCTCCCTCAGTTCGCCCAGGCGGCGCTGGCAACTGGTTAGCGTGGCCTCCAGCTGCCCGGCGCGCTCTGAGGACTGCCTAGGGGAGGCGACAGGAAGGGGGTCGGCTGGGGTCTGTGGTCAGGGATCCGCTGGGATTCGGGGCTCTCCAGGCAGGGGAGGGCGTCAGCCTGGGGCGTCTGGGTTCAAGGATCAGGGATCAGGCCAGACCTGGTGCTGCTGGGGGTCGTTAGGCTAGTGGTTAGCCCAGGGTTATAATCAGGGATCCTCTGGGGTGGACTGTGGGGGCACGGAAGGTCCGTGGGGTTACAGCAGAGTGATGGGGGCCCAGAGGGGACCGAGTATCCCCAAGGACACCTTGTGCTATGCTGAGAGACGAGAGCACTCTGGGGTCCTTGGAAGTGCAGTGGGGGAAGGTGGGGTCACAGCAGAGCCTCTGGGGTTACAGAAGGCAAAGTGGGGTCACAAGGGACTGCAAGGTCATTGCACTGTGGAGTCCTGGCGGGTACCGTGGGATCCAGGGGCATGATGGGACCCGAAATGGTGCGGTGGAGTCTGGGGGGGGGGCACAGAGATGCTGTGGGGTCTGCGAAGCGTAATGTGGGATGACAGGGACACTGTGGGGTTCAGGGGGACACGATGGGTCCAGAGGGTCTAGTGGGGTCCAGGGAATGTGGTGGGGCTCAAGGTAGTGCAGCGAGGCCTGGAGGGTATGGTGGGGTTCAGGATGGATGTGTGAAGTCGAAGGGAAGCCTTGTAGAGGTTCACTGGGCATTTTGGGGGTACAGAAGTACTGTGGCGGCAGAAGAGAACTTTGGCAGTGGTGGGGGGTGCGGTGGCCACCCAGAGAGCACCCCTCCAACTCACCGCAGCTCGTCCATCTCGTCCTTCAGGGCCTGCGCCTCCTGGGCCAGGCTGGTCAGCGCTTGGTTCCGCTGCTGCAGCTCGGCGACCTCCCGCTCCAGCTCTGCGCAGCGCAGGCGCTCGTCCTCCCGGCCACTCTCCAGCCTGAGCCGCGCGGGGTGGGGAAGGGGCCTATGAAGGGGCTGCCCTCGCCCCAGCCCCCTGGCCTGCCAGGCCCCGTCCCCGGCTGGCCACACCTGAAGTTCTCCTCCTGCAACTGCTCTAGCTGGGACTGCAGCAGCAGCAGCTTCTTGGCAGTGAGACCCGCGGCGCCCTCGCCCTCCGGCCGGCCCACCTGCTCGCGCAGCGCCGCGTTCTCCTGCGCCAGGCTATGCTTCTCCTCCGACAGCAGCACCAGCTGTGGGCGGTGCAGGTGGATGAGCTGGGGGCTGGGAGGGGGGGCTGCTACGCAGGTGACCCTGCCCCAGGAGCACCTGTGCGCCCCCACCCCACAGCGGCCCCACCTGCCGCTCCAGGTCCAGACAGCGCTGCCGAAGCTCGTCCCCCTCCTCGGCCTCCTCACTTAGGAAATAGTACCTGCGGGACTGCGGAGGCGGGGAGGGCAGGGGTGAGGAACTGAGGGATCCACAAGGACAAGAGTGGGGGGAGGCAGGGGCAAGGCTGGGATCTCTGGAGACAGAGAGGAAGGAGCTGAGGAGACTCAGGATCTAAGAGAGGGCTGGGACCCCCAGGGGACTGGGGAAAGGCAATCTTCCCCTAACCCTGGGGACCTGGCAAGGGAATTGGAGCTGGGGGTGATTTACAGGCTTAAAGATAAGCCCCTCCCCCCTTAGGCAGCCCTGAGAACTAGTAATGGGCTGGAGACCTTTAACAAGGTTGCCCCGCCCCTTACCTGGTTGTCGAAGTTGCCATATGTCTCTGGCGACAGGGAGTCGGGGGTGTCTTTGGTCATGAGCTGTAGGGTGGGTAGGGGCATCATGATGAGCTGGCTCTCTGCGGGTGGCCTTCAAGGCATCTGCCATCCAGCCTGTGAACCTCTCCATCCCCCTGTCCTCACGGCCAGCTCGGCCCAATAACCCCATCCCCGAGGCTGCCCTCCTGCCTCCAGCACAGAGGGAGGCCGGGTCTTCTGACTCTGGAGCCTGCTAGATCGTGACTTGCGCTGCACAGAGCTGGCAGACACATGAGACAGAGATGTCTGGCCAACTGAGTTCCAGGCAGAGCCCAGATCTTACCAGGACAGGACCCGTGCCCACTTGCCTCTGCCCTGGAGATGTCCCCTCCCCTGACTGATGCTCCTCAATTGTCACACTGGGCACCCCCACCCACCTCCTGGATGGCTTCCATCACCACATGCTGAACCGATTCCTCCAGGGTCATGATTCTCTGGATGTGCTCTGAAGATCAAGGCGGGGGAGGCTGAGACCCAGAGGTGGGTGGGGGAGGAAGGGGGGCTTCCTCAGACCATCCCCAGGGACCTCCTGACCTCCCCCCGCCCAGCATGCATACCCTGCTTTTTCTCGCAGCTGATAGCACAGCCCAGCACTAGCTGAAGCAGCTTGCCGAGCTCAGCAGGGTCTGAGAACTCGCCGATGAGGCTTACATCTGGGAGGTGCTGTCCTGACACAGGGTGCGCCAGGACCTGAGGGCAAAGGGAGGAGAGGGTGTCAGGGGCTCACAGCCCCTCCCCCTTCTCCCAGCAACCCCCTAAATCCCTTTACAGTCACTCACATCCTGGGAGTATTCCACCAGGCTGCGTAAGATCGTCTTCAAATTGTTGACCTAGGGAGAAGCGAAAAGCCATGGACAGGAGTCCCGAGGTCCCCACCTAGAATCTCATTCCCTGCTCATCTCATCCTGTTTGGCCCTATTCTGTCTGAGTGTGACCTGCCCTAGGGGCGCCCAGTCTGGTTGTCTGCCTGACCATCTTTGTCCATGTGTCCCCACAATCTAGTCATCTGACATCTGACCATCTTTGTCTGCCTGACCATCTTTGTCCATGTGTCCCCCAAATCTAGTCATTCCTCACCACCTGCCCTGCCACCCTTTGGCTCTATCCATCCAGCCAGCTTCATCTCTCACCTGAATTACTGTACCAGCCACCTCTTAGCTTTCATTCTTGCTGCCTACACTCCATTCCTCTCCATGCAGCCAGGGGGAGCTTTTTAAAGGCCCAGCCAGGTTGTATCTTTCCTTAGCTAAAGCCCTTCCTTGACTCTGTACTTAAAATAGAATCCACACTCCCCCCCCCCACCGCCTGCCAGGCCTCTGCTGACCTCATCTGCTACAGTGCTTGCCCTCTTGCTCGGTCTTCTGTACTCCCTGCCATCCCTCGGCCCCACCAAGCTTATTCCCAACTCGGGGCTTTTGCATTTGCTGTTCCCTGTGCCTGGAACACCATTCCTCCAAATGTCACATGGAAATCGGCCCATGCCCAGTAACCACCCACCCACTCCCTCCTCAGTGTCTCTCATGGCACTACTTTTATTGTCTCCATAGAACTACTGGCATCGGAAGTTAATTTTGGTGGCTGTGTGAGTGTTGTCACTAGAATGATGGGTATGTGAGGGCAGGTTTTGGTGTGTGCTACTTTTTGCTGAATGCCCATGCCTGGCACACAGTGAGTGCTCAATAAATGAATGAAAGAACAAATAGTTGGCTGATCATCAGGCATCTGTCCCTCTTCCTGGCCAGGTCTGTCTGTCCATCACCCAAGTCATGTGTCTAGCTGACCCTTCTCTGGTTATCTCTTCACCAGTCTGACCCCTAGTCGTGAGTCCGCCTGTCACCTTCAGCTTCCAGTTGGGACCTGGGTCGTCTGAGATGCCCTGGAGCCATGCCTCGTTGAACCAGGAGGGATCTCTGGGGACGGGACAAGAAGGTGGGATGAGCTGGCTGTGAGACCCTTCTGGGACCCTCCCCCTAAGCCCCACTCACATCTGGTTCAGCACATAGGCTATGGCGAGGCCGCTGCTCAGGTCCTGGGGGCTGGCACAGGGGGGCGAAACGTGGAACGTCTGCAACTGAGAGGCAATGGAAGGGACAACAGGACAGTGAGGGCCTGGGACCAGCGAACCACTCCCCTTTTGCAGACTTTTCTAGCCAGCATGATTGGGCAGGTGCTGACCTGTTGCTCCACCATGCCTGGTCTGCGAGGGAGTGGCTTCTGCTCACCTGGGACCGGAGGGGGCGTGGCCTCCCTTCACCTCTGCCCGACAAACCCCGCGCGACCAGGCCAAGGCAATACTACGAGTCACCAGGTCCCCACAGGCACCACGTGACCAGACGACTCACCTGTGCCCTCGCCCCACGTGAGCCAGCCACAGAGGGGCGTGGCTTCACCTGTTCTTTCCACGTAGACCTGCCACGTGACGGGGGCAGGTGCTCAGGCTAGAGTCCAACGGCCCAGCAGGCCAAAGACCCCTTCACCTCCCAGCCCGAGGACGAAAGGGCGGACCTAACCGGGACGAGTGATCCTGGGCGAGAGGAGCAGGCGCACACCTGTCCCCAGCCCCGCCCCCGACCTACCCAGGTGAGCAGAGACCCGCATAGCTTGGCCTTGTCCACACTCATGGCTCCCGATTGGATTCGACCTCGGCCACTGAGCCCGGGCGCCGCAGCAGCCTCCGGGTCCGCCACCAGCGAGCGCCCGCAGCCCCGACCTCCCGCTCGGCCTAGAGCGCCGCCCCGCCCCGCCCCCTAGGCTCAGGCCCCGCCCCGGGCACATGATCTCCGGCCGACGCCCGCTCTTGTCTCCAGCCCCGCCATCTTGGATCCGGGCAGCGATCGGGCGCCCGCCCTGCCGCTAGGGGTCAGTGTGGCCCCGCTTTGCGCACCGGGAGGGTGGCCCCGCCTCCCGTCTTCCCCTCGCTCTTTTGCGGGTGAGGTCCTCCCGATCCTTCTGAGGCGGTGCTGCCCCACCCTGTTATGCAGGCGCATTCGCGTCCTATTCCTACAACTGCAAGAATTCCTCCTGTTTAATTACCTTATGCTCCGAGCCTTCATCTGTGCGGGGGAGGGGCGAGCCGCATCACTTCCTATGCACTGGGAGGGGCAAGCTGAGGGCAGGAGGGGTCAGCCAGACACGTACCCTGGGTGATGGACAGGCATGCCCAGCCCGGACCCGTCTTCCAAAGACCTTCCCCTGCGCCCTCGCCGCCCCAGGGGCGCGCCCGGCATCCCCCTGCCTCAGACCGAGCGCCAGGCCCAAGCTGCGCGGCGCCCGCCGCCCGCCAGGGGGCGCACAGCCCGCAGCAACGCCGCCCGCCGGGGAGAGAGCGCGCGCACCCCGAGTCCCCCCTGGGGGGCGGTGGAGGAGGGGGTGCTCAAAGGAAATCGGTAACGGTTATAACTAATGCTACAATCGCGGTCACCGTGTATGGAGTGCTTACCGTGTGCAGTACCTGTGCTGAGCGGTTTAAATAGGCTATTGAAGCCGCCCCACGGCTCCAGGTGGCAAGTGCCGGTGTAATTCTCGGTTTTGCCGGCGGGGAAGCCGACGCCCCGGGTGGGCTGGGCTTTGAGGGGAGGGGTAAGGCCCAGGCCCGCGCCCTTTGACCCCGGGGTCCCTCGGCAGCCCCTGCCCAGCAGGCGGGCGAGGCAACGTGCAGTAATTACAGGTCATTAGCTGCACCCCGAGGGAGGGGCGGGCTCGGCTTTGGGGGCGGGTCCAGGTTGGAGGGTGGGGCGCCGTTCCCATCCCCCCCCCGCCCCGAGACTTTGGCTCGGGGGGACCCTGCTCTGGAGCGGGGTGGGCAGGTGACGGCAGCCCCCTGCCTGCCTCGCGGGAACCACACAGTCGCCACCAGACGCCCGGTCACGCAGCCTCACGCACCCGGGGGCGTCGCAGGCTCGTCCACACGTCCCCAGCCCCCTCCCTCCGCGTTGTTTTCCAGACTTCAGCCCCTGGGAGCGGGTGGGGAGGGTAGCGGGGAAGGGGACACGGGCCGGCAGCGCCGGCTTCCGGACTGGGCCGGCTTCCGGCGGTCGTGGGAACAGCTGCTGCTGGCTCCCGCATGCTGCACCCACCGGAGGAGAAGGTGCTGCCAACAGGGGGGAGACAGGGCCACCCTGTCCCCAGGTAGCGCTGGGAGGTGAGCCAGGAACCAGGACTGTTAAGAGGATAGGGGGCTTGACATGCTGGGATCGCCAAATATTTCGGGTAGGGGTAGCAGGGCCCTTGATGTTTAGGGGAAAATCTGGGAAAACCCAAATATTTAAGGAACAGACTTAAATTGTTCTAATGTTGGCCTGATGTTATGCCCCCCCCCCCCAGCTGTTCAAAGACCCAAGAGTCCCAGATTGAAAAAAGATCAGGGTGCCCTCAATTTGGGGGAGGAGCAACAACCCTCCATTTGGGGGCAGCAAGGAGTCCCACGTTTGTGGGAAAGGAAGGGACCTTCCAGGTTGGCTGGGAAGAGCAGCAATCCCGGTTTTGAAACGCAGGGAACCCCACTCTGGGGGGATCCAGGTACTTTCAATTCAGCAAAAGGGTCCATAAACCCTCGATTTTTGGCAGGCAACCCATATTTGGGTGAAGGATGCAAAAGAGAGCCCCAAAGTTTGGGGTATGTTCTAGAAGCCTTCGTGTGTCAAGAGACAGAGAGCCCCAGTTTGCAGGTCTGGGCCAGCAGCCCCCAGCTGGTTTGGGGACCCCACCCCCTCTCCTGCCTGTTTCCAGGAACAGCTGGGCCCAGTCTGGGTTGTACTGCTGGGAAGCGGCTGACTCAACCCCTCCCTGCGGCCACAGCTGGACCCCGGCCCGCCCCCTCCAGGCTTCACATCTGGGCAGAGACCCAGACATCAGGGCTGGGATGGGGACCCTGGGTCCCACGACTGGAGGACAGCATCTTTATGTCATCCCACTGACTGCCCACAACCACTGGGTGGACCCCATGCGCCATTGCCGTGGAGGACCCCGGAAGGCCCCCTGCACCCCAGATGTTCATGTCCTGCCAGCACCTCCTATCCTGCCCCCCTCCCGGTGTCGGTGTGTGTCTCGGAGTCCGTGTGAAGTGTGCTCATCTGTGTGTAGGTGTGCCACGGTGGGTCTGTGGTTGCGTGCGCATGGGCGTGTGTCTGCGTCCATCTATGGCTTGGGGCCCCGGAGTTTGTGCGACAGGCTGTGTGTGATGTGATTGAGGAGGAGGTTCGGGGGTGTGGGGACTATAATATATCCCTGCCTGTGTATAAGATCCGGGGTTAGGGTGACCGGCAGCCTCCTGTATCTCTGTGTGGTCCACGCAGCATACGAGTGGTTGTCTCCGTCCAATCTTCATGTGTCGTGGGTCTACTACCCGGCTCCGCTATATGGGACTCGCTTTGGGTCTCCATCTGTGTTGTCCTTTGTGTGAGAAGCGAGTGTGTGACAATCAGTGTCTCAACGTGGCTTTAGGTTGTATGACTGTACCTGTGACTGTTTACTACTTTGTCTTAATCCTGCGTCTCTCTGTGAAGATAGTGTGACCCTGTCACATTTGTCCATGTCCCCGTGACACTCTGGGTGTCCCTGTGGTTGTCGTTGTGCATTTGTTTCTGTGACTGTATCCTACTTTGTCAGCTCTATTTGTGATATCCGTGTGACTGTCGCGTGTTTGTCTCCTACCATGTGTCTCTGTGCCACCCCGATCTCCATGTGAGAGGTGTGGCTGTGTGACAAAACAAGGCCCAGTGTCCAAGACTTTGTACCTGTTTGCGTTCCACTTTGTCTGTCTTGAAGGTGTTTGTTAGAGTGTCTGTAACTGCCACCTGCCTGCGTCTGAATATGGCTCCGTTTGTGTCCCTATTGAATGCTATGTGACCTATGTGCCTGGGTGACTGTCTGCGTCTCTGTTGGTGTGTGACAGTGTGGCCCTGTCTGTGTCGGCTGCGGGGCTGCCTGGACTAGTGAGGGTTCGTGCCAACGCGTGGCAGGTGTATCCTGTGATCCTGTGTATCACTGTGGGTCCGCGGGAGTTTGCCTGTGACCTTGTGTGTGGAGGGGAGGGGTGACAAAGTCACATCAGGCAGCCCGGCTGTGCGGAGGCGGCGATGTGCGCAGGGGGCGTCAGGCGCGCAGCATCCCTCCGCTCTCAGCCAGGAGGGCCCCTCCCCGAGCTGCGGGGGCGCGTGCGTCGTGCGTGACGTGAGACACGACGGGGTTCGCTGCGTGCGTGGAGCTCGACGCGGTCGTGCGTGCGAGCGCGGGGCGGGGAGGGAGGGGGATAGGCTGGCTGCGTGCGTGCATGCGTGCGTGCGTGCGTGGGTGGCTGTGGGGGCTGGGTGCGTGGGGCGCGCGGGGCGCAGTCCCGCCCGGCCGGAGACTTCGGAGCGGGGGAGGGGGGCGCGGGTGAAACCCCAGAGAGGGGGACCGCCGTTAACCCCTTCCTGCCCGACCTGAAACTTGCGGCCCCTAGACTGAGCGCGGGGGCTTCCCCAGGGCGCGGGGGGCAGTCCCTGCTGGGGGAGGAACCCCCCACGGAGATGCGACCCCCCCCCTGTTGCCATGAGAACCAGAGCTTTCCCGCGCTGCCAGATGCCTGTTTCCTCCCAACCTCCTGCTCTTCCTCCCGCTCCTTAGCCCGGCGACAATGCGCTTCCCGCTCCTGGTCCCCCCGGAGAAGGGGGCTGGGGTCAGCGAGGCCGGGGCGTGAGTGACTCAGGCCAGCCAGGGGTCCCCTGGCCGCAGCTGGCCTCGCTCCGCCTTCTCCGCCCCCGTGACTCACCCCTCGCTCGGCTTTCCCCGCGTGTGACTCAGGCCCCTGGGGAGGGGGCTGCGGACTCTGGGACCCCCCTCCAGGCCGTGGGGGCTGAGAACCAAGTTCTGGGGACCTGGTGCACTGGGGGAAGGCGGGCGGTGAGGCTGCCGCCTCCCTAGCGGACCCTCGCTAAGGTCACTAGGGGCGCTTTCTGCCCCCACCCCGTGCCCAGAATTGGCAAAGCTGCCCCCCTGCACCCCGCAGGCCTCTGGGAACCCAGCCCCTCCCCCCCAGCCCACAGGAAGTTTTGGCAGAGCCCGTCGTGGCGACGAAACGGTTAAAGCCGTTTTCTTATTCATTTCATCCAGGGGCCCATTTTGACTCAGAGCAAGCGCGGCGCCGGGCGCCCCCTTGAGCCGGGCCTCATGGGGGCCTGAGTTCATACTCCCCAGGCCGCATGTACCAGTTTTGGAGGAGGGGGGGGAAGCGGTGGGTGAGCTGCCTGGGGTCTTGGGTAGCACACAGAGCTGAGTTCGAATCCTGCCTCGCCCTCTTGGTGTCTGGGCCTCAGTTTCCCCATGTGAAAATGTGGGATAATCACGGCCTGCTCGTGGGGTTGCTGTGGGTATTAGGTGACAGACGGGGTGTTCTGCATCCAGGGCTGGGCACAGGGGTGGCGTCGGGCTCCTCCTCTCAGGCCAGGGTGTCAGGGCGCCGGGTAGAAGCGAGTCCTTGCTGGGCAGGCCGTGCCCCACCCAGGCGCTCTGAGGCCGTGGGGTTCATCCCGTCCACCCGCTGCCCGGGGCGGGCACCCAGGAAGTGGGAGGCGGGGCAGGAATGAGGCGGAACCTGTTGGGCCCGTCGCCTCCCTGCCCCCCCACCCTCATTCCCGTGCCCTGACAGGGTACCCCCCTAACGCTTCAGCCCCACCCCTGCTGCCCTGGACGCCTGGGTCCTGACCCGAGGGTGGCCCGAGGGAGGGGATGTCGGCTGGAGACGGCGTCTCGGGAACATCCTGTGGACTGCCGGCTGGACAGGCGGAGGGTCAGCCCCTCCCGGGGCAGGGCAGACATCGGCTGGGGGCAGAGTAAACATGGCTCAGGGTGGCCAGACTGGGGGCGGGGGCGGGGAGGGGGGGCTGTAGGAATGTACACACACACACACACAGTCACCCCAAGAGAGCCAGTCAGACACACAAACTCCTGTCACCCTGGCCACAGAGAGACTGCCAGGCAGGGACATGCAGACAGGGTCAGACATACATCTGTGCACGGTGACCCAGAAATGGCTGCCAACACATAGACACAGTGACAGAGCAGACTCAAAAATGAGAGAGAGACCCACACTGTCCAACGTATGAAGACATCAACAGGTCAACTACATGCAGGATGTGTGTGGCAGGGATAAATTAACTCAGTACACAGGCAAACAGTCACACTGACAAACAGTGAAATTGACATTCAGGTGAGGAGGCAGAAACAATGGGAGGCTCACACCAAGACAAGCATGACAGGCCAGGAACACACGGGCAAGACAGACACAGAGAACTATGTGTCAGACACAAGCAGACAACACAGGCAGACAGACTCAGAGAGGAGGTACAGTCACTTTTGGCATGGGCACCCTGAGGGCCACACGAGAGAAGACAACATACATACACACACACACACACACACACACACACACACACACACACACAAGATCCTCAATTCAAGAAGATACTCAAGGCCAGGCACGGTGGCTCACTCCTGTAATCCTAGCACTCTGGGAGGCCGAGGCCGGCGGATTGCTCGAGGTCAGGAGTTCGAAACCAGCCTGAGCAAAAACGAGACCCCCTGTCTCTACTATAAATAGAAAGAAATTAATTGGCCGACTAAAAATATATTAAAAAAATTAGCCTGGCATGGTGGTGCATGCCTGTAAGTCCCAGCTACTTGGGAGGCTGAGGCAGGAGGATCGCTTGAGCCCAGGAGTTGGAGGTTGCTGTGAGCTAGGCTGATGCCATGGCACTCACTCTAGCCTGGGCAACAAAGCGAGACTCTGTCTCAAAAAAAAAAAGAAAAGAAGACACTTGAGGCACGAGACAAACATAAACCCATGCACAGAGAAGACAGGTCCATACCACGACAGCCCAGGCACTCCCCCACCAATGCTGCACGCACATCGGAGATGTTCCAGGGGACACCAAGATGGGCTACCTCCCCAGGAACACGGACCTGCCGGACCTGCCAACAGACTGGGCAGATGCGAGCAGACAGACTGACACAGTCACAGACGGGACCTGGCCAGACAGTCACACCCAGCACAGAAAGGCACGGACAGGCCACAGTGGGGTATTCATAAACACATCGGCGCAGACGCCGAGAACCTGTTGACACTTGCACGCATATACACGGGGACCAGCCACAGACCACACACACACACAGAGGTCAGCCACAAATCTCTCTGTCTCACACACGCACACACACACACACACACACACAAAAAAAGACACACAGATCTCTCTCTCTCTCTCTCTCTCTCACACACACACACACACACAGAGACCAGTCACAGATTATATACACACATACATGCAGACCAGCCACAGATCTGACACACGTGCAAACATACATGCACACTAGACACAAATAGGGTAGCCGCGTGAACTCCAAAACAACCTTCGTGCACATGCATGTAGGTGACACATGCAACCAGTCCCATAGGTCACACACACACAACAGAACAGAACCTTCCACAGACAGGCCCTGTACCCCCTGCACGGTTGGGCCAACACATGGACATAGGGCCGGTGACAGGCCTCATGCACAACGACACACCCTGACAGGCCAGCCGCACACTTGCTCCCTGGCCCTTGCGGAGGTTCTGTGGGGCAGTGGGCTCTGCAGCCTGTCTCTGCCACCCCCCCCAGATCCAGGCGCTTCCCCAAACATCATCCCCACTTCCCTCCCTCCCTCCCTCCCTGGTCTTTGTCACTTCCCCTAGGAGGCCCAGCTCAGCAGCCTCAGCTCCTGCTGGGGTGTGGGCCTGCTTTCTCATTGGGTTCCCCAGGGTCCCCCGTGATGCTCAGGCCCCCCAAGCCTGCACCAGCAGTGGCAGGGACAGAGCAGCTTCCTGGGAAACTCCCCCCATGCCCAGCTGAGTCAGCCTGGACAGAGAAAGAATCTCTCCTTCCTGCTTCCAAGAAAACCCAACAGCTTCCTCTCCAGGAGAGGGGGTGAGGGACCCCCAAACCACAGAGGTGGGGGAGGGAGGTGGCGGGCAGGCCAGGAGTTCCTGGGGGGAGGGCTCCTGTGACTCTCAGCCTCTTCCTGCCCAGCCGCCAGTCCACACCCAGGGGCAGGGACGCAGGAGGCTGGGTGCTGGGACTTGTGGGTTCTCGCCCCGGCCTGCCCACTGGCTGACTCATGGGCAGCCCCCGGCCCAATTTCCTAGTGAGGGCCCCACCGGTCAGTGGGGCTAGCAGGGAGAGGGGGGCCACCAGGCTATTTATAAGAAGGAGAAGTCCCTCATGCCAAGGCCAAAAGCCCCAAATAGACCTGCCGGTGGGGGTGGGTGAACTTCCTCCTTAGCCTGCCCCTAGGCTCTGGCCCTGGGGTGTCGGGGAAGCCTGGGCAGTACTCAGGTGCCAGTCCTTGTGCTCAGGCCAGGCAGGGGAGGGGGCTACCTTCACACCCTCCTCACCGGGCAGGCCTGGCGCCAGTGGGGCTGCGTGAGGGGGTGGTGCCCAGGCCACAAGGGTGAGACTGGCAGGGGCCTGGAACCGGCTGTACCAGCTTGGCTGGGCCCCCGCCCTCCCTGGCTGGCCCAATCCCCACCCCCTGCTCAAACACCCATGCAGAGTGCATGGATGGCCCCCACTCTGACATGCTGGCCTGCCCACAAAGACCAGCGCCCTCTCCCTGTGCCCAACTCCATCCTCCCCCCATTAGAGACCCTTCGTGAAAGGGCCTGCAGAACTTGGCATGCAGTTGGTACCACATAAATGCCTGTCTGGTTGTGATTACCCACAACATCGTGGCCAAAGCTCTGGAGCCAGGCAGCTGGGGTTATACCTTGATTCTAGCACTTGTAGCTTTGGGACACCAGGCAAGTTCCTTAATCTCCTCTGCTTCAGTTTCTCATCTGTTAAATGGGTATCCAAGCTGGGCACAGTGGCCCATGCATGCCTGTAATCCCAGCACTCTGGGAGGCTGAGACAGGAGGATCACTTGAGGCCAGAGATCAGGATCAGCCTGAGCAACATAGCAAGCCCCTGTCTCTACCCCCCTAAAAAATGGGTATCTAAATAGCATGCATTTTGCCAGATTGTTCAAAGCAGCCAATGACCTATTTTATGTAAAGCACTTAGAAGAGAGGCCAACGGTGGGCGCCCTATAAGTGTTAGCTATTAAAATAATAATTATTATTTCTCAGCCTGTCTGCCTATCTTAAGTGTCTCTGAGTCTCACTGTCTGCATGACGCTAACCCTGCACCCATTTGTCTCTCTGGGCATCTCTCCCTGCCGTGACCCCTTGCCACCACACACCCACTCTTCTTTAGTCTGTCCTCGACCCTCTCTGGGCCTCCCCTGTGGCACGGCCAGCCTGGGCACTGGCCAGGGCTGAGTCACTGTGGCCTCCTGGCCCTTGGGACCTGCAAGTTGTCGACCCAAGGTGCTGCCCTCAGGCCTGTCCTGCCCAGCCCCCCAACGCTGCCCGCTGCGCCCCCGCGGGGCCCAGCCAGATGTCAGCTGCAGTTATTAGCCTGGGCGGGAGACACAGGCCTGGCAGCGTGCCCGCCAGACTCAGCGGCCTCCGGAATCTCCCTTGAGCCTCGGGCGGGGGAGGAGAGCCACTCAAGCAAGGGGAAGAGGGGAGGGGGCATTTAGGGGTCACAAGGACCCTCCAAAGGCGGGACACCCCCAGCTTCTCCTGGGATCTTCCTCCACTAGCCCACTGCTGTGCTGGACTTCCCCCTGCCCCCACATAGCTCGGTTTCTTTCTTGACTGTTTCGTTTTCTTTCTCTCCTCCACACTTGGTGAGCTCTGTGCTGCCTCACAGAGCCTGGCCCTCAGCCTTTCTCTACCCTAAAGAAACGTCCATCTTCCGAGAAGACAGAGGCCTGGGAAGCTGCATGAGAGAGACAGAGACTGGGCTTCTCACCTTTGGCTCTAGTGGCTCATACCCAAACTGCTTGGAAGTCCCACCTTAAGTCTAACTGGAAACCTCACCATGTAAATCTCCATCTAGCCCTTCCTGGGGAAGGGGATCTGGGTTCCCTCATATTCTCCTCTTGGACTTTCAGGTCCCTCTGACTGGGGGGAGGGAAGCCCTCAGACGGGGAGACGCTCTGGGAAGGGAGGAGGAGTCCCTTCTAGGTATGGTCCACGGGACCCTCAGACTAACAGGGGAGTGTGGCCCCTGATCTACAAGAGTGAGGGAGAGGTGCCCCCAGTCCCCAGGGGTGTGGGGGAAGGAGCCCCAGACCTCCTGGTAGAGGGAAGGGCACCCCGCCCCAGGGAGGAGGCAGCGCCGTGCCAGCCCGCTCAGGCGCCGGGGGTGCCTGGAGGCATCGGCCCGCCCTCTCCGCACCCCGTCGGGCCAGGGGCGAAGTCCGACCCAGGCCCGCGGGCAGGCGGGGACCTGCCAGGCTGGGTCGGGCCGGGCCGGGCCTGGCAGGACGCAGCCCCAGCGCAGCAGGGTGGGGCCGGGCCAGGAGGCCGTGGGGGCCCTGGGGGCCTCGGGGGCGGCGGCCGCCGGGGCTGGTCGGGACTAGCCGTCCGGGGGCCCGGGCGCGCCCAGGGACCTGGCAGATACTCCTGCTCCCGGCTCCTGGCTCCTGGCCCCAGGGCAGCGCTGGGCCCACCCCTTCCTGTGCCCTAATATGGGCGTCGGGGAGAGACTCCAGGGGCCGCCCCGCCCCCAGTCCTGCCTGCGGGCTCCCGCCTGTCGCCATGGCGACCGGCGGCTGCGTCCCCCTCAGTTCGGCCAATGGAACAGTCCCCGTGCTCCCTGCTTTTGTGGTCCCCTGCGGGCGCGGCGGGCGGAACCACTGCTGGGGAGGTGGCTGGAGGCCTCTGTCGCTGGGCTGGCTGGACGCGCCCGCGCCTCCGCGGGGTCGCACCGTCAGGTTCCTCTTTAGAGGCGCAGGATGCAGCCGGGCCCAGGGCGGGGCGCGCGGTCCTATAGGATCCAAGTGACGGAGACAGGGCCGGGCTCCTTCCCCCGGGGCTGTTGCCACACTTCCTGCCTCGGTGCTCTTTCCTCAGCCTGTTTCTAAGGAAGGGAGTGGAGCTGGACGACCGCACCCCGGCCGGCCGTCGGGCTGGGTCCAGACTCCAGGAGCCAGCACGGTGTCGAGCAAGCCCAGGGTCACTAGGAGGCGGTTCTGAGATGGGGGACAGAGTATACAGGTGCCTAGGGAGTCACTCTCGAGGGTGAGCTCTAGTCACAGAGGACACTGTCGTCCGGGTCCCCGGGGTCTTCAAAGCCCCCTCCTCACGTGTCTCAACCGGGTCCCCTCCTGTCATTGTCCTCAGCTCTGTGTGCTCCGACCCGACCCTTCTAACTCTCCTTCATCCGGGCTTCGCAGATGACCCTGGTGATCCCCAACCTCTGACAGATGTCCCCATCTTCTACCCCACATATTTAGTGTGACCAATGCCCCCCGGGACACGCACTTTGTGCACATCTAGATCTCTCCAACTCCCTCTTCCCACTTAGGGGGGAACGCTCAGACTCCCATGGACTCCGGCGCCCTGTTTATTTCTTGCATAATGGTCCCGTAGCCCCGCCCCCTGAACCCTTTTGATCTCTCCCCTCCTCCCTCCTTTGAAAATTCTGGTCCCTCAACCCCCGTGTGCCCGGGACCCCCAGTCAATCCATGGGTCAGGTGTCTCCTTACCCCCTCCCTGTTTACCCTGCTTAAGAATCTATTTCCTGCTTTTGGGGGTCTTCCGGTGTCCTGTCAGTCCGTCTGCCCCTCTCGCACACGCAGGGTCCTCAGGCCCTTCCGTGGACACCCTGGGATCATTTATTTCCTCACTCGCTCTGTGCCAGGTCCTGGAATCCATCCTAGTGTACTCTAGGGGACTCATCACCCTCCCGGAAACCCCTAACTCTTGTGCCTCGGGACCCCCAGAACCTCATTCCACGCGTACCCCGGGGTCTCCGGTGCCCCTCCCCCTGCAGCCCTGCCGAGCTACTGGGCCCGTGGCCGCTGTTTACAAGGACACGCGCTTCCTGACAGTGACGCGAGCCGCCTCCTCCCCTTCCCCACGCTCGAGGAGGGGGGCGCGGGGGCCCGGCTCCGGCGACGGCCAATAGGAGCGCACTTCCGCAGCTGACAAGCGCCGTATAAAGGCGTGTGGCTCGGGCTGAGCGGCAGGGACCTTGAGGGCGGCCAGGCCAGCATCGGAGCCAGCTGGGAGTGGGGAGCAGGGGGAAGCGACACCGAGAAACGAGCGCGCCAGAGAGGGCGAAAGGGGCTCAGGAAGCCGGACACATCCTTCGCGCACAGCCGCCGACTGGCTGCTCCCAGCCGGTGCCAGCCCCCGGGAACGCGCGACCAGACACCCAGTCCCGCCACCGCCGGGGACAGCGCGCCACTCGCCGCAGCGAGGCCCGGGGCGGCCTCGCAGGGACCCTCCCCGGACCGCCTGGGCCGCCCGGATGTGCACTAAAATGGAACAGCCCTTCTACCACGACGACTCATACCCAGCGGCGGGATACGGCCGGGCCCCTGGCGGCCTCTCTCTACACGACTACAAACTCCTGAAACCGAGCCTGGCGCTCAACCTGGCCGACCCCTACCGGAGTCTCAAGGCGCCCGGGGCGCGGGGCCCCGGCCCGGAGGGCACCGGTGGCAGCAGCTACTTTTCCGGTCAGGGCTCGGACACCGGCGCGTCTCTCAAGCTCGCCTCCTCGGAGCTGGAGCGCCTGATCGTCCCCAACAGCAACGGCGTGATCACCACGACGCCCACACCCCCGGGACAGTACTTTTACCCTCGCGGGGGCGGCAGCGGCGGAGGCGCAGGGGGCGCAGGGGGCGGCGTCACCGAGGAGCAGGAGGGCTTTGCTGACGGCTTTGTCAAAGCCCTGGACGACCTGCACAAGATGAACCACGTGACACCCCCCAACGTGTCCCTGGGCGCCAGCGGGGGACCCCCGGCCGGGCCCGGGGGCGTCTACGCCGGCCCGGAGCCGCCTCCCGTCTACACCAACCTCAGCAGCTACTCCTCAGCCTCTGCGTCCTCCGGAGGCGCCGGAGCTGCCGTCGGGACCGGGAGCTCGTACCCGACGGCCACCATCAGCTACCTCCCGCACGCACCGCCCTTCGCCGGCGGCCACCCGGCGCAGCTGGGCTTGGGCCGCAGCGCCTCCGCCTTCAAGGAGGAACCGCAGACGGTGCCAGAGGCGCGCAGTCGCGACGCCACGCCGCCCGTGTCCCCCATCAACATGGAAGACCAGGAGCGCATCAAAGTGGAGCGCAAGCGGCTGCGGAACCGGCTGGCGGCCACTAAGTGCCGGAAGCGGAAGCTGGAGCGCATCGCGCGCCTGGAGGACAAGGTGAAGACGCTCAAGGCCGAGAACGCCGGGCTGTCGAGTACTGCCGGCCTCCTCCGGGAGCAGGTGGCCCAGCTCAAACAGAAGGTCATGACCCACGTCAGCAACGGCTGCCAGCTGCTGCTCGCGGTCAAGGGACATGCCTTCTGAGCGCCTACCCCCGCCCTGACGGACACCCCCAGCCTGGACGGCTGGGCGCACGCCTCCCACTGGGGGCGAGGGGGCAGGCGGCGGGCACCCGCCCCGGGGCCTGGGGGCGCCGCAAACCACACTGGACTCCGGCCCGTCCGCTCTGCGCCCAGTCCTTCCACCTCGACGTTTACAAGTCCCCCGTCCCACGTTTTTTTGTATGTTTTTTTTTTTTTTCTGCTGGAAACAGACTAGATTCATATTGAATATAATATATTTGTGTATTTAACAGGGAGAGGAGGAGGGGGCGATCGCGGCGGAGCTGGCCCCGCCGCCCTGGTACTCAAGCCCGCGGGGACATTGGGGAGGGGACCCCCGCCCCCTGCCCTCCCCCTCTGCACCGTACTGTGGAGAAGAAACACGCACTTGGTCTCTAAAGAGTTTATTTTAAGATGTGTTTGTGTGTGTGTGTGTGTTTGTTGTTCTGACTTTTTATTGAATCTATTTAAGTAAAAAAAAAAAAATGGTTCTTTATTAATTTCTGTTGTCTTTTTTTCCAAGCCGGGAGGGCGGAGGGAGGAGAGCCCCAGGCTACCCCCACCTCACTGCTGTTGGTGGCTCCCTCCTGTGCGTGTCCCCTGTCCCCCACCCTCGCCAGCTCTGCCTAGGCATCTCCTGGCCCCAGCCCGGGAGTCCAACCCTCCCCGTGTCCCCCGGTCTCCCGGGTTGGAAGGTCCCCGCGCGGGACCGGGTCCAGCCGCTCAGTAACCGGGGGCGAGGGGCGAGCAGGGTGCCCGGGGCGAGGCGCGAGTGCGCAGGCGCGGCCCCGCCCCGCCGCGCGCGCAGGGGCTTTCCCCGCTGACGCAGCGGAAGCGCTGCCCTTATATGGGCCGATTCTGCCCAGTGACGCGCCCGCGGTCTCTGGGCAGATTCCGGGAATCCCCTCCCCCGCTCTGCCGGGCAGGGCCGCGGCGCCGGGAAGGGGGTTGGGATTTTCCCGGGCGGGCGGCTGCCCGGGCCCGGAAAGCCCCAGGCCTGGGTCCAGAGCGCCCGAGGTGGGCGGGCCGCGCTCCTGGGCCCCGGGAGCCACCCCCTGCCGCCCCCAACGGGCTGGCGCCCGGGCCCGCCGCGCCCACGCCCCCTCCGTCTGCCCGGCCGGGGAGGAGGGTGGCGGCTGCCTCCGCGTCGTTGCCGGCGACGCCGTCCCCCCAGCCCCCGCCAGGAAGGGCGGCGCCCGCCTGCCAAGTTTCCCTCCCGGGTGCCAGGCCAGGCCGAGAGCGGGGCGGCTGCCAGGTCTGGTCCTGCTGGGGCAGCCGCCGGGCGCCGCCGCCGCCCTCGCGCGGGCCCCCTCCCCGGAGCTGGGGCGCGGGGAGCCCTCGGAGGGAGCGGCGGGGAAAAGCAGGCGGGGATGCCAGGCCGCGGCGGCGGGTGGAACAGACACTTATAAGATACTGAGCTCCCAGGCCCTGGAGACGCAGCCCCGGCCAGGCGGACAGACGCTGAGCAGCAGACGTGACTCTCAAGCAAGCGGAGGTGGTAGTGACGGGGCGGGGGGCAGGCTGCCCTGCAGAGCGGCCTGGGACCTACGTCTGCGACGGAGGCCGCTGGCTTTCCGACAGCCTTGGAGGAGCGGGGCCTTAAGAAAATCCTGGTAGCCGCGTTCTGGCTGCGGGAAGGGCACCTGCAGGGTTCCTGTGGCCAGAACAAGATCTACCTGGGAAAGAACAGCAAGAAGCCAGTGTGCCTGGAAAGGGAGTGAACCACACCCGGGTGGATGAGGTCACCAGAGACCACGCGGGGGCCTCGGGGAGGAGTGTACATTAAATTCCGAGGGAGATGAGTGAGGTTAGGGGGTATTAGGTTGGGTGGGAGTATTAATGGGGGGAGGGGTCTTGTGGATTAAATGAGCATAGGAGCCCCGACTGGGGAAGGAAGTAGGATTCAGAGTGGCAAAGCCACTTGCCTGGACAGATATAGTATCAAACTGCACCCCTGGGACCCCTGCCTTGCTCTGGACACCTGCCTCCCAGCCTAACCCTCGCACCCCAGGGGCAGACAGGCGGCCCTTCCAGCCTGGGGTGGGGCAGTGCTCACAACAGGGACTATGCACGTAGCTCACACCCCCTCTGATCCTGCTTAGGGGCTGGGTTTCCACCCTCTTCCCTGTAAGACTGGACTCAGCTGGGTTCCTTCCAGCCCCAGGAAGCCATCCTAGTAACTGAGGACCTACAGGGGCTGGGCCCCGAACCTCGCATACTTTATCTCCTTTAACTTGCATGGTGATCTTGAGGGTTTGTAATCTATTCCCATTTTACCGTTGCAGAGATCCGTGGATGATCCACAGGTCTTAAATGGCACTGGAACCCGGGCTGGCCGATGGCAAGATGTGGGCGCTACCTTGCACGGCCAGGCTTCAAGATGTAAGACATCCTGGGACTTGCTCCCTGCAAGGGGCAAACAGCACCCCTTCCCTTGGAAACCTCGCTCAGGCATGAGAAGAGGAAGCAGTGAGCACGGGGCAAGGCCGCCACCTTGTGGCGAAGATATGTAACTAACAGGATCAGTTTCCCAGGCCGGAGCTAGGAGTCGGGGAGGATGCCAGGACAGAGCACGCAGACACAGACTCACATTTGTTCCTAATACTTTATTGGTTACCTTTAGGTCTGTGCCAGGCTGGGTGGAGTCACTATTCCCCTGCTCCTAGGTAGGGGCATGAGAAGACCTTGGCCTAGCCCTCCAGGGATTGTGGAATTTGGAGGGTCAGGTCTGGCCTTTCCTGGGTCAGCACAGGGCACCCAGGTAGGGGCACACCTGGGGGCCGAGAGCACAAGACCACTATCCGTCTACCAGCCTAGTTGTGTTTGGAGAAGTACTCCTTGCTGTCATCCACGTTGGGCTTGATCGTGTCGCTGCCAGGCTTCCAGCCAGCGGGACAGACTGTGGGAAGACACAGCCCCAAAGTCAAGGTGAGGGGATGAACAGAGGGAAAACAGGAGCCTGAGTTGCAGAAGAGAAAGCTGCGAGCAAGTGGTCCAGGCCCAAGAACTTGCATATTGAAAGAAGCTTCTAAGCCTAGCTGTAGTATTCCTTCAATTTTTTCTTTCTTCTTTTATTTATTTATTTATTTTTGAGACAGGATCTATCTCTCTTTTGCCTGGGCTACTGTGCAGTGGTGTCATCATAGCTCACTGCAACCTCAAACCCCTGGATCCTCCTGCCTCAGCCTCCTGCGTAGCTGGGACTACAGGTTCATGCCACCACGCCCAGCTAATTTTTCTCATTTTTGTAGAAATGGGGTCTCCCTATATTGTCCAGGCTTGGACTTGAACTCCTGGCTTCAAGTGATCCTCCTTCCTTGGTCTCCCAAAGTGCTGAGACTACAGGTGTGAGCCACTGTGCCCCACGATCCTTCAGTTTCTTTTTGGATCCTTTAATCCTGCCTTTCTCCCTCACCCCCAGCCCTGCTGGACTCTGAGAGCGCGGTTAGGCTCTCTCCCCAACATGAGAACGTATCCTGACCAGACTAACATTATTCAAGCCTGACTTGGGACATGACATCTCAGATGGCTTCTTTGGATCTCTTGTTCCCTCCCAGCTCCCCAACCCTTGCGTTGGGGTATCTCCCCCCACCAGACCAGAAACTTCCTGCAGTCAAGGCTCTGAGCTGAGTCTTCCTTGGGGCCCTGACACCCACCCCGGGTAGTAGTGGCAGGCAGTGACTGTCCCCATAAGCAACAGAGTGTGTGTCTGTGTGAACCCTCGTGAACGCATGGATCTGCTCACCTTCCCCATGCTCGTCGGTGTATTGGAAGGCCTGGACCAGCCGCAGGGCCTCGTCCACGGAGCGCCCCACAGGCAGATCGTTAATAGTGATCTGACGAAGGACACCCTTGCCGTCGATAATGAAGAGACCCCTGAAGAGGTGAGCATTCGCATGAGGAGCTGGGAGCCAGGCAAGGGAGCACCAACCACCCACCGCCAGCCACAGGGCCGGGGCCCCACAGTACCTGTAGGCAATGCCTTCATCATCTTTCAGTACGCCGTAGTCGTGAGACAAGCTTCTAGACACATCAGCAAGCAGGGGGATGTTCAGGGGGCCCAGGCCTCCCTCCTTCCGGGGGGTGTTGATCCTGGTGGTGGGGGAGACTGGGTTGGGACTTCAGAGATGCCTGGCTCCGCAGGGTTTTTCCCCTTGCAGGCCCGAGTATGATAAGGACTGGAGGCGAGAGATAGGCTCTTCCTAGTAGGGCTCTGGAAGCCCCACCCTGGGGTGGGTGCAGGGGCTGTTTCCCCGCAGCTAGGAAGGCTAATCTTGAGAGCTAACGCTCCAGCTAAGTAAGGAGCTTCACACGCGCTGGTGACCACCAGGATCACTCAGGAGGCGGCTGCGTTAGGCTCCCCATCCTCATCTAGCTGCCTCCTGGGGCCCAGCCCTTCATGACCACGAACCAGAGTTTCTGCCTCTGTCAAGTAGGGCGACACTGCCCTGGGAACCAAGTAAGATAAAGCAACTGCAACTCTATGGCCAAGCAACATAGTTACCAAATGCTAATTACTGTCATTATGGTTGGGACTCGGGTGTCAGTGTTTCCATTATTTTCGAGACGAGGGAGGGAGGCCCAGAGGTGGAGCAGTGGCTGGCCTCCAGGCCACACAGCTCAGACCCCACGGAGGAGGACTTAGCTGCTCCTTCCCTAATTCCCTCCCTCCCTGGGCCCTCCTCATACCAAGCCAGGTGGGTGAACTGGGAGTCCACAGAGACCCCCAGCACTTCGCAGCCCAGCTTGTGGAAGTCCTCAGCGTGATCGCTGAAAGCGATGATCTCCGTGGGGCACACAAAAGTGAAGTCCAGCGGGTAGAAAAAGAGGACCACGTACTTCCCTGGGGAGAGGGGAATGGAGCAGTAGGTAGGACCCAGCCCCTCTGGCTCGTGGGCCCCGCCCTCACCTGGGCCCCCTCCGGGCCGCCCTCACCTTCGTAGTCCGAGAGCTTCACCTCCTTAAAGGCGCCATCCACCACGGCGGTGGCTTTGAAGTCAGGGGCGCGCTTGCCGATTTGCGCTTTGCAGGTCATAACTGGAAGCTGAGACCCCCGCCCGGTCAGTGCGGGGAGCAAAGACCTTTTGTTCTCCCTTCCCAAGGTCACGCTGCGTAACGGGCCTGGTTACTGAGGCAGAATGGCGGAGGCGACACCACTAACCCTCACCCTCCCGGGTACCAGGTCTGCGCGGCCCAGAGGCCGCTAGAGACCCGCCCTCCTGCACAGAGCACCAGTGACCCAGCCGCTGCCACCGGCATCCCATTAGTGAGTCGGCGGGAGCGTGGTGGCGCAAGCCCCCAGTCCGGGAGAGAGCGAGGGCCCCCGCGAGCAGGGGGCGGGGAGCCGGGCGATCAGGCCTGTGCGCTCAGGCGCTGGCCTCGGTTTCCCCCTGAAGGACAAAGGAGGCCACTGCGGCGGATGGAAAACAAAGGCGGCCAGCGATGAGGTCAGGATAGGGCTGGAACTGCTCGAAGGGCGGTCCCCCCAGCCAAGTGCACCGGGGGTGTCCATACCTGCGTGGGTAAAGGCCTGACGCACGGACGACCAGACGCGTGGACCCGCGTTCTCAGCGCCCAGTGCGCCCTGGGCCGCCCAGGCTTTTATGCGCGGCCCGAACCAAGACGCGCAGGGCGCGGGGGGGAGGGGAAGCGGAGCGGCCGGGTCCATGCGTCTGCGGGCGGCGGGGGGAGACGCACAGCTGCGGGCCGCGACCACGGCACCGGCCCGGGGGTGTTGCGCGGGCGCCGCGCGACTTTGCCCTGGAGCGCGTTGGGGGCGGTTGGAGTCGGGCATGGCCCGGGGCCAGGCGGCGGGGCTGCTGCTGCCTCCGTTGCTCCTGCTGCTGGAGACCGCAGCCCAGGTCTCCACGGACTACCAGTACTTCGGCCCGCGGGGCGAGGGCGACACCTGGGAGCAGCTGGGGCAGCAGCATCAAAAGGGTAACCGCAAGTGGCGGGGAAGGCGCTCGGTGCCTGGCTTCCCCAGCTGGCTGGAAACAGATCCTCCTCTAGGGGGACTTCAAATCTCCGCCCAGCTCCGCACTGCGCGGCCCCCCCTTGGGCTGGTTCCTTTTCTCTTAGGCTCAATTTATTACTCATCTATAAACTGAAAAACACTCTGCCTTTAAGCTGCTCACGGGGGTTGGGGGGACAGGGGGCGTGGGCCCGCAATAAACACCGCAGGGGACATATCCATAAACTCACGAACAGATGCTAGGAAGGGCAGAGACAGCAAGAAGGGGAGAGGTGAGCTTGCAAAGTGGGAGAGGCCAGGCCAGAGAAGATAGGTAACCGGTGCAGCAGGAATGACAAGCAAAATGCCCAAATGAAAAGATCTGGGGAGACAGCGTCCCAGGGAGAGAGAACAGCAAGTGCCAAGGCCAAAAGGCTCGACAGAGGAATGGAATAAAACCAGTGAGGTGTGGTGGACACCTGAAGAAGTAGGGTGTCAGGTGTCAGTGATTTATGAGGACCACGGAGTTAGGATAAGACTTGTCCCATCGGGAAATAGGAGAGATTCAAAAGAGCTCTGGGTAGGGCCTCCAATAAGCGCTCAATAAGTTGTAGCTGCTTCAAAAGTGATCCTAAAAATTGCTTTTGTTCTACATGCTAGCACTGCGCTAGAGGATTTCAGTACCTTCATTATGTTAATCTTGTCATTTGGCCCTGCTGGTCAGATGGCACCGTGTCTGCCGGATAGGCCCATGGCCACGCCCGCGAAGGCAGGAGACTACTTCGGATGGTGGGCACCAAGGGTGCTGTACCCCACTCCCGACTGGGCAGGCTGGCATAGATTAGAAGTGTCAGTTTGCAGTCCCTCTGGGCCACGCACCAGACGTGTGGCGGTGGAAGGGTGCCTTGCTTTCTCTAGATCGGTTTCCCCACCTGAGAGTAAGGAAAAGATTAAATGGGATAATTTATGGCAGTGTGCTTGGTACAGAGGCAAAGTTGAGCCAATATGAGCTGCGGTTATTTGTTAGTAACTTTGTCTTTTTCTCTCCCTTAGAGGAAGGGGAGGTAGGGTCCCCTCCATGTGGATCTTCCTCTAGGCTCTCTATTCCTAGACGTGGAGGAATCCATCCTTGGCCCGTGGGGAAAGTGGCGCTGTCTCTGTTACCTGGGCAAGCAGGAGCGCAGCCGGGAGGTGCTGGGCACAGCGCCGGACCCGGTGTTCATGGAGCACGAGAACCTGGTCCAGGTACGGCCCTGTCGGCAACGAGACTGTCCATCCTGCAAGCCAGTCGACTGCGGCTGGAGGCTCTGAGGCCAGGTGAGGGGGTGCAGAGTAGGCAGGGCCGGGCAGGCTGGCACCTCTGGGGCCAAGGGGTGGGGATGGGTATGGGGTAGGTATGGGAAAGGGAGAACTGGGGCTCTAAGTCTAGGAGTTGAGACTGGTGTTGGTGGGGGAGACTGAGTCAGGAGAGGTGAGCCCCTCTGATATCTGGGGATAAAGGAGGGGGCAGGTGGCTGGGTTTGGTGGCTCACGCCTGTAATCCCAGCACTCTGGGAGACCGAGGCCGGAGGATCGCTCGAGGTCAGGAGTTCAAGACCAGCCTGAACAAGAGCGAGACCCCATCTCTACTAAAAATAGAAAGAAATTAGCTGGACAACTAAAATATAGAAAAATACTAGCTGGGCATGGTGCTAGTGCATGCCGGTAGTCCCAGCTACTGGGGAGGCTGAGGCAGAAAGATTGCTTAAGCCCAGGAGTTTGAGGTTGCTGTGAGCTAGGCTGACGCCTCGGCACTCTAGTCCTGGCAACAAAGCGAGAAGGAGGGAGGAGGAAATGAGAAGAACCGGGACCCTGAGGGAGGGGGCATGAGTCTGGTGAGTGGCTGGAACCCAAAGACAGAAAACTTGGGCCCCTCTGAATCCAGGGAATAGGAGAGGTGCGACAGAGTAGTGGAAGCACCTAGGAGGCGTGAGCACCGGGAAGATAGGGGACAGTGGGAGAAGGGCGTAGGGGTGGGGATGGGGACATGAAACTTGAGATGACAGGAATGAGCTGCGTGGTGAGTGAAGACCACTGGGGGTGGGGGAGGCTTGGCCCAAATGAGAGAGAGGGTAGGAAGCGGTGATCCTGGTGGGGCTGGGGGCTCCCAGGGAGCGGCCAGGGGAGGGAGTTGGGGCCCTGAGCCCAGTGGAAGCGGGGATACCTAGTCCAGGGGGCTTGGAATGTGTGGAGGGACAGGGACCGCGAGTAAAGGGCCTGAAATCCAGGTGGCCAACGGGGACCCAGTGATGCGGGGACCAGTGTTCTGGGAGTGTAGTGATATTTGACCTTCTAGGCTCCCCCTAGAGCTGCTGGATCTTGGAGGGCTAACCCTCAGTTTCCCCTTTAATATCCTCTCTTCCCACCAGCCTCGGCGGGCGGGGCCCCAGAGGCCCCGGGGTGGAGCTTGCAGGACGACCCCGCCCACCCGGTTGCGCAGAGGCGGCCTTCGGCGGCAGCCCTTACGGACTACAGGTCCCAGGAGGCCGCGCGGCAGCAGCGTCGGCGTCGGCTGCGCAAACGACGAGGGCGCCGGGAGCGTCGGGGGCGTGTCCCGCCCGCTGATTGGTTGGGAGCGGGCACCGCCGCGGGGCCCGCGGAAAACGCGTCCCGCGTCCTGCTCTTGCGGCCCTTGTTCCTGCAGCTGGTGGCGGCGGCGGAGGAGGCATGGATCTCAGCGAGCTGGAGAGAGACAATACAGGCCGGTGTCGCCTGAGCTCGCCTGTGCCCGCGGTGTGCCGCAAGGAGCCTTGCGTCCTGGGCGTCGACGAAGCGGGCCGGGGCCCGGTGCTGGGTGCGTCCCCCGGCCGGGGAGGGGGCGGGGCGTGGTAAGGGGGATGCAGGCTGCACTGGCGGGAGAGGCAGGATTGCACCGGACCCGGGGGGCGGGGAGTTAGTGGTGATGGCCATGGCATCAGGGATGGCAACTGTTATGAGCTTACCTGGTTAAACCCCCACCCCCGGAAATTTGACACCCCTCCTCTCCAGGACCCATGGTCTACGCCATCTGTTACTGCCCCCTGTCCCGCCTGGCAGATCTGGAGGCCCTGAAGGTGGCAGGTGAGCCCGGGGTGTACGTCTGGGCAAGGGGTTCCTGGGCATGTGCATGGGCCGGTGAGAGCTGGAGGGGGCAGGGCAGGAGTCGGGAGAACTAGCTTGCACCCCTTCCTTCTCTCCCAACCCTCCTCCCAGACTCAAAGACCCTGTCGGAGAGCGAGCGGGACAGGCTCTTTGCGAAAATGGAGGAGGACGGGGACTTTGTGGGCTGGGCACTGGACGTGCTGTCTCCGAACCTCATCTCTACCAGCATGCTTGGGCGGTGAGGGGTCCCTGAAGGGGCTGGGGGGAGGGGCAGCCAGCATGGGCTTGTCAGGCTCTGTGCTTCCAATGGGGTTAACTGGGCTTTGTTCCCCACCACAGGGTCAAATACAACCTAAACTCCCTGTCCCATGATACAGCCACAGGGCTGATACAGTATGCGTTGGACCAGGGCGTGAAAATCTCCCAGGTGAGCTTACTGTTGGGTTGCCCCCATTTGATCACCTCAGGATAAAATGGCCAAAATATGTAATGAGCAGATTCAGACTGAGATTCCTCTGGACACATATTCATTGCTGCTGTTGACTTCCAACTCCTGTTCTTGTCCTGAATATGAGGCCCACCCAGGACTATGGTGCAGCCCCCAGCCCCATCTCCATCTAATCTCCTTATCCTAAAGCTCAGTGTCGTGAACAAATCTCTCATCTGTCCACTTGACCACAACCTCTGTCCTAGCCCAGGGCCCCCTCCTGCCCCTCCCTGGATGCCTTCTCAGCTTCCTGGCTTGTCCCCCACCTCCAGTCCCCTCCCCTCAATCTGTTCCACACTCAGCAGCAGACAGTCGTCTTTTTGAAATGTAAATCTTGACATTTAATTTTCCAATCACGGCAGATTTTCACAGTGGAAATTAAATTGGGAAGATTCGCAGTTAGATGGGTGAGAACGAGATTAAATTACCAGAGGAAAACATAAATCCATGTTGCATCCTGTGCTCAGAGGCAAAGAACAGGACGTATTGAGAGAGGAGGAGACATAAACTTGAGATAGGATTGCAGCAGGGGCGGCCTTTTTGAGGAGGTGGCCGAGGCCCAGGCTTGGATGTAGAGTTGGTGACATGGTAACTGGAGCAGACAGACAAGGGCCCCCACCTTGCTGGTAAACAAAAAGGTGATTTCTTTTTTTTTTTGAGACAGGGTCTCACTTTGTTGCCTAGGCTAGAGTGAGTGGCGTGGCATCAGCCTAGCTCACAGCAACCTCAAACTCCTGGGCTCAAGCAATCCTTCTGCCTCAGCCTCCCAAGTAGCTGGGACTACAAGCATGCGCCACCATACCCGGCTCATTTTTTCTAAATATATTAGTTGGCCAATTAATTTGTTTCTATTTATAGTAGAGATGGGGTCTGGCTCTTGCTCAGGCTGGTTTCGAACTCCTGACCTCAATCAATCCGCCCACCTGGGCCTCCCAGAGTGCTAGGATTACAGGCGTGAGCCACCGTGCCCAGCCAAAAAAGGTGATTTCTGAAAACAGTAACTGTTGTAGAGACACCACTTGGCCCCAGCAGTTCCTTGACCTCATTTCTCTGCTCCAGCCTTGGGCCTTTGTACTTCTGTCCAGCATCGTCACTGTAGTCCCCACTCAGGGGCTTTGTACTGGCTGTCCCCCCTGCATGGAGCACCCTATCCCAGCTCTCCTCCATACGGTTCATTTCCTCACCTCTTTCAAGCCTTTATTCAAATGTCACCACCTCACAGAGACCTTACCTGAACCTTCGTCAGCACTGTTTAAAATTAGGAGCCAGGCACTGTGGCTCACATCTGTAGTCCCAGCTACCAGGAGACTGAAGCGGGAGGATTGCTTCAACCCAGGAGTTCAAGGCTGCAGTGAGCTATGATCACGCCACTGCACTCCAGCCTGGGGGACAGAGGGGAGACCCTGTCTCTTGATATAAATAAATAAAATGAAATAAAATTAGAACGCCTCCCAGTTCCACCCTATTCTTTCTGATCCTTTTTCTTGGCTGGGACCTCACCAAGGTTTCCACTCCACGCATGATGGCAGGCATTTTTGTCTGGTGTGTTTGCTGTCTTGTCCTTGGCACCTAGAGTGGCATCTGGCATGCAGGACGTGCTGAATAAGTGTAGAATGGATGCAGGATGACCAGGGAAAGCCTCTGTGGGAGGTGACATATGAGCTGAGACCTTTGATAGAAGGATCCAGCCTGGGCCCGAGCTGTGGGAAGAGCATTCCAGGTAACAAGTGCCAAACCTGTGAGCCCGGATCATTGGCACAGTTGTTTCTCTCTCTCTCTCTCTCTCTCTTTTTTTTTGAGACAGATTCTCACTTTGTTGCCCAGGTTAGAGTGCCATGGCGTCAGCCTAGCTCACAGCAACCTCAAACTCCTGGGCTCAAGCGATCCTCCTGCCTCACCTCCCGAGTAGCTGGACTACAGGATGCGCCACCACGCCGGCTAATTTTCCTATATGTATAGTTGCCATATTAATTTCTTCTATTTATAGTAGAGACGGGGTCTCGCTTTGTCAGGCTGGTTTGAGACTCCTGATCGACAATCTGCCCGCCTCGGCCTCCCAGAGCGTGGCACAGTTGTTTCTCTAGATGTTTGTTGAATGGATATGTTTGTCCCTGTGGCAGGTGTTTGTGGACACCGTGGGGATGCCAGAAACATACCAGGACCGGCTGCAGCAGCGCTTTCCTGGAATCACGGTGACAGTCAAGGCCAAAGCAGACGCCCTCTACCCCGTGGTCAGTGCCGCCAGCATCTGTGCCAAGGTCAGCCCTTTTCTTCCCTCTGGCCACCGCCTGGGCAGGGGACAGACGTGGCTGCCGTGGAGGAGGGAGACTCCAAGTGCCCATCCTGCCCCCAGGTGGCCCGAGACCAGGCCGTGAGGAACTGGCAGTTTCTGGAAACACTGCAGGACTTCGATGCGGATTATGGCTCAGGCTACCCCAATGGTGAGCGGCGGGCAGTCCCGCCTGCCTGGGGAGCTGCCCTGAGACAGACCGTGGTGATAACATTGACGTGGCCAGGGCTGAGCTCACTTCTGAGGTTTTCAGACTTGTTTTGGTCACAGCAAGGGACTGAAAGCCAAGGCGGGCATCTGTCCATTTGTTAAGGGGAAGGGGGCAGGAATGAAAGGCACTCACTGGCATCTGGTGGCCTCAGCTCAGAGGCAGTCTCCTTCAGCTGCACCTTGAGCAACTGTTGGCCACGTGAAGAGTGGGAGGGACCTGCTTGTGCAAAGGTCCTGGGGCAGGAAGGTGCCTCAGACAGCAGGAAGTATCTCGAGTACTCAGGAGAAGTGTGGTGAGGAGCTTGGGGGTTATGGTGTGGTTCAGGGGCTGTCACCATTGCCCACCCCACCCCAGATCCCAAGACAAAAGCGTGGTTGAGGAAACACGTGGAACCTGTCTTCGGCTTCCCGCAGTTTGTCCGGTTCAGTTGGCGCACAGCCCAGGCCATCCTGGAGAAGGAGGCAGAAAGTGTTACGTGGTAGGTGTCCCGAGGTTGCCGTGGGGAGGGAGGGAGGCCGGGGCTCCGCCCTGCCTGGGAGGGCCTCACCCACCGGAAGTGGCAGTGTCCTGGTCAATGTCGGTTCTTTTCCACAGGGAGGACTCCACAGCAGGGGATCAGGAGGGCACTGGGAGGATCACCTCCTACTTCCTCAGTGAAGGTCCCAGAACCCACCACCATGCTCCCCACCGATATTTCCTGGAGCGTGGCCTGGAGCCAGCCACCACCCTCTAGGAGCCAGCCTGTACTCCCTCCACCTGCCCCCCTGCAGGTGATTAAAGGTGTTTCAGGAGAACCAAAAATAGAAGCTGTACTTGGGGGCAGAGGTGGGATGGGAGCACGCTCTGCACCTGGACCCAGCTACTGCCTTTTGGAACCTAAACAGAGTGGGCATTGGTTAAGTGATTTGATTTGGTTTGCTTTTTGAAATATGTGACATATTTATATGGCACAACATTAGAGAGATGGGAGGATCAGTTGAGGCTAGAAGTTCAAGACCAGCTGGGCAACATAGTGAGACCCTTACCCTGTCTCGTACAAAAAATTTTTAAACATTAGCCGGGCATGGTGGCATGAGAGTGTAGTCCCAGCTACTTCGGAGGCTGAGGTAGGAGGATCACTTGAGCCCAGGAGTTTGAGGCTACCGTGAGCTATGATCGCATCACTGCACTCCAGCCTGGGCAACAGAGGGAGACTCCTTTCTAAAATAAATAAAACCAGCACTCTGGGAGTCCGAGGCAGGCGGATCGCTCAAGGTCAGGAGTTTGAAACCAGCCTGAGCAAGAGCGAGACCCTGTCTCTACTATAAATTAAAAAAAAAAGAAATTAATTGGCCAACTAAAATATATATAGAAAAAATTAGCCAGGCATGGTGGCGCATGCCTGTAGTCCCAGCTACTCAGGAGGCTGAGGCAGGAGGATTGCTTGAGACCAGGAGTTTGAGGTTGCTGTGAGCCAGGCTGACGCCATGACGCTCACTCTAGCCTGGGCAACAAAGTGAGACTCTGTCTCAAAAAAATAAAATAAAATAAATAAAACCTGCTTATTGAGGGTTTCAAACGTTCACTTCTGCTCTCAGAACAGCCCTGGAGAGGGGCGATTCTTCCAAATGTCTCTGATTCATTCCTCTCTGCCCACCTGCTGGTCCTGTCTCCCAGGAGCACCTTACCTCCAATCTCGCGTTCCGAGTCCTGTTCCCAAGAGGCAGGCAAGAGTGTCAGGGGGATGGACCTCTCCTCGCTTATACCCCTCCGTGGCTCTCACACTCCTTATCCCCAAGTTCAGGTGCCTTCACCTGGGGGTCCAAGGTCTTCCATGATCAGACCCCATTTCCCAAGCTCAGCCCCAGGCTTGCTGGGCAGCTTGGAGTTCCCCAAACATGAAAATCTCTACTTGGCCACAACTTGATCATCTGTCTGGAGAGCCTTCAAATAACTTGCCTCACTTTTCTTCCTTGACTGCTTCTCCTTGTCACAACAACACAGTCTATGACATCAGTAATACAGAACGTAACATCATCCACAACAAACAATAGATGGTGTCTACGCGTATTAATGATCAGTGAGTGTTAATGATGTGCCATGCTCTCTAAGCATTTTATCTGACATCCCTCCCATGAAGAGGAGTCTACAGTTTCTCCCCTTGAATGTGAGCTGGCTTTGGTGACTCACTGTAGTGCATAGAAAGCAGAGATGTGACACTGACTGCCAAGGTTAAGTCATCAGAGGTGAGAGAACTTAAACCTGGCCTGCTCTCTTAGGATACTTCCTTTGGAAGCCAGCTACTATATTGTGAGGAAGGAGAGGCCACATTAGTCATTCTGGCCAGTAGCCCTAGCTGAAGTTCAAGGTAACAACTAGTGCCAGCTGAGCACCGTGGCTCATGCCTGTAATCCTGGCATTCTGGGAGGCCGAGGCAGGAGGATTGCTTGAGCTCAGGAGTTCTAGACCAGCTTAAGCAAGTGCGAGACGCAATCTCTAATAAAAATAGGAAAATAAGCCAGGTGTGGTGGCATGTGCTTGTAGTCCTGGCTACTTGGAAGACTGAGGCAGGGGGATCACTTGAGCCCAGGAGTTTGAGGTTGCAATGAGCTGTGATGATGCCACTGCACTCTACCCAGGGAGACAAAGTGAGACACACCCCCAGAGTGCCAGGATTACAAGCATGAGCCACCATTCCCAGGCCACATCTCTGTTTATCTTTGATTTCCTGCCTGGTACTCATACCCCTCCACTGGTTTCAACACCTAACTTTCCTGGGGTGGGGGTGAGGGACTCCCACCAGGCCAACCTGGAACCTTTGCTGCCTTTGGGGGTAAATGGGCACATTTTAACTGCTGGAATCATGGATTTACTAGTCTATCTTTGCTACTGTGGGGATATACTATCCCAGAGTATAGCAATAAAAAGAAACGGATTTCTAACATCATACAAGCACCTAGATACAGCCATTCCTGAAGCTTGGTCACTGTTCTGGCTAAAGGCACTTTGAACTGGGCTTTTCTCTGGCAGCTAAGAGAAGACTGTGACTCCCCCAGTGCAGCACTTCTTACGCAGTTCCATCTTCCCTGAGGACAGGGAATGGGCCTGATCTGTTTATCTCCATGTCATGCATGAGACACAGGAGACACCTTGCTCTATTGAACAGAACTGAAAGGGACATTGGTTCTGTTTTACAGGTGGGGAAACTGAGGCCCTCCTGGGGCCTGTGGACAGAAGAAGGATTAAGAGCAGTGTGCATAACAAGTCCTGAATCTGAGTCCAGTTCTTTGCATTAGGTGCGTTAGGTCTTGGAGTGGGGTGTGGGAGAAGAGGAAGAGAGGGAGGAAGGAAGGAAGGGGGTACCTTATGTCAGACGTCTTTGGACCTGCTTACTCAGAAGGGAACGCCATGAGTGTGTCTTGAAGTGTATATAAGTCAGGCAGCTTCTTGGCAGGCCTGGTGGCTCAGTAGGAGGGCACACCCCTCCCCCATTTCTGACACCTGGGTATTCTGAGTTATGATGAATGCTCCAGGGTGGTATGGGCAATCCGTCATGTACACTCTAGTATGAATCAGTCGCTAACCCTAAGACCTGAGGATTAGAAGTGAGACACCTGTCCCTTTCTTGCAATTTTCCTTACCCATTTCCCCAAGAAGCAGCGACATCACGTGCTCTTAGCTGGCGACTTTATTCAGGGGCGAGAGGGAAAAACCAGCGAGAGAGTCGGATGGTATCTCTGACAACCCGGAGAGGGGCGAGTGTGAGGAGCCCAGGGAGGGGCTGGAAACTAGCAACTGCAGAGGGGGAGGGGCGGGGCTCTGGGTGCCCCGCGGGGCGGGGCCGGGGAAGGGCTGCGTCTGCCGCGGACGCCCGCTAGGGGCCGCTGCCGCTCCCGCTGCCGCTGCCGCTGCCCGCTGCGTCCAGGATGGAAGTGGGAGAGCGGCGGGAGCGCGGGGAGGTAGGTTCGCGGGCCCGCCGTCGCGGTCTGGGGCGCGGCAGGGCCGAGGTGGAAATGTTGAGGCAGTGACGGGCGCCGGGAGCGGCCACTGGCAGAGTGTGGCCCAGAACCGAGCGACAAAGGTCCGCCCCGTCGGCGAAGGTCTGGGAAAGGGGTGGAGTTAGGGGCGGAGCCGGCGCAGTCACACACACTGGGGGCGGGCCTTCTGGCCGGGGCGTGGCTAGGGGCGTGGCCTCCGGAAGGGAGGGTCTGAGAGTTCCTCTGAGGACGGGGACAGGGCCTTGGGGAGGGCGCCTGTTCTTACTTGATCCCAGGGGCTAGACGGGGGAGGAGGACGGTGCGGGGGAAGACCAGATCGAGGCTAGGGCCTTGAAGAAGATAATTGGGCCTTTGGGTCCTCCAGGGTGAACTGTGGACGGGCCCAGAGCAGAGAAGGGCAAATCTGGGCTCAATGGGCCTTCGGGAGGCCACGTGGGCATATTTTGGTATGCAGGTTGGACTCCGGAAGGGGAGAAAGTGAGAGCAGGGACCTTGGGAGAGCCAGTCCGGACTGTCTCGCCCTCTGCTCCACACTCACCTGCCCATAGGTATGGCAGCTGGGTTCACAGCTTCTTTTTTCTGGGAGTGGGAGCCAAGTCGGGCCGCAGGTGACATCATTTTCGCAGGCGGCAAACCTGGGCGTGGTGTGTGGAGAGGTGAGTAAAGGCTCTGCAGCAGCATTCTAGTGGGTCTCTGGCTCTACAAGGCCCGATTCCATATAAGCCCTGCCCTTAGGTCCAGACCCCGCCTCTTAGGACCATTCCCCTACAAACGCCGTTCCTCCAGATTTCACCTGCCCCATATGCCATCAGATCTTTCCAGCTAAACTCTGGCGGTGTCATCACAACTGTCCTCAACCCTGCAGATGTCAGACCATCTGTTCCAGGCCAGCCCCTTACATTTTCCCACCCTGTTGGCTCCTGTTTTTCAATGAAAAGACCCCGCCCCTTTATTTATTTATTTATTTATTTTTGAGACAGAATCTCACTTTGTTGTCCAGGCTAGAGTGAGTGCCGTGGCATCAGCCTGGCTCACAACAACTTAAAACTCCTGGCCTCAACCAATCCTTCTGCCCCAGCCTCCCCAGTAGCTGGGACTACAGGCATGCGCCACCATGCCTGGCTAATTTTTTCTATATATATCAGTTGGCCAATTAATTTCTTTCTATTTTTAGTAGAGACGGGGTCTCGCTCTTGCTCAGGGTGATTTCGAACTCCTGACCTTGAGCAATCCTCCCGCCTCGGCCTCCCAAATTTCTTTCTATTTCTAGTAGAGACGGGGTCTCACTTGCTCAGGCTGGTTTCTGGCTCTTGCTCCCAGAGTGCTAGGATTACAGGTGTGAGCCACCGAGCTGGCCAGACCCCGCCCCTTTAAAACCCTGACCACGAAAGGCCACACCCCCATACTGAGATCTGAAAACAGACGTCCTCCAACTACTGCCAGCAGGCCACATGCGGGTATTTTTGCGGATTTAATTTTTTACTTCAAAATAAGATATGTGCAGTGTGCATAGGAATTTGTTCATAGTTTTTTTAAAACTATAGTCCAGCCCTCCAACGGTCTGAGGGACAGTGAACTGGCCCCCTGTTTGAGGACCCCTGTCTTAAAAGCTGGAGTCTCAGCAGGCCCCGTCCCTTTCTGGCTGGCCTCTAAATGCTAGGCCTCATCCCTTAGATGAGGCCCTGTTGGAGGCCACGCCCCTTCACGCAAGGCCAAGCAAAGCCTCAGGCCCCGCCCTCGGCCCCGCCCAAAGAATAGGCCCCGCCCCTCGCGTCCCGCCTCTCCTACCAGGCCTCGCAGAGCTCCGCGCAGAGCGGCTGTGCCTGGCGAACCCCCAATAGCAGCAGGCGGAAGCGACTGCGGAGGGCAAGTTGGAGGTGTCCCAGGAAGGATTCACACCTGGACATTGGGAGAAACAGGGCCAGATGAGTCAGGATCTGCAACTGGGACAATGTACGCAGAAAACACTGGGCTGGCAGGGTATGCTGTACTCACCCGGGGCTGGAAGCCCCACAGCGCTCTGGAAAGATCCCAGGGCCCGTTGCCTCTGGCGTGTTCATCTCTGAAGGACAACAAGTTCCTGGCAAAGGGGCCTCCTGTAAGCCGGGGTCTTGGATCCTCAGGTACGGTTTGGGAACCGAGGCCTGGGGGTCCCCTGAACAAGGGAGACTCTGGTTACATCTCTCCTCCCAAATATAAAATTTAAGTAAAGACATTCACTTGAGATGCAAATGCAGCTTTAAGTAATAATAATCATATAGCATGTGTCAATACATTATATATATATTGTGTATATATATACACACACACACAATAATCATATATCAGTAATCAGCTTATTATTTGTCATGTGCCTGGTAGTGGTGTAAGTGTTCATGTGCTTAATCTTCCCTCCTTTGTGAGATATGTCTGTTATATCTCCCTTTTTCAGTGGCCTACATGAGTCCCAGAGAGGTTAAGTGACTTGCCCAGAGTCACACAACTACGAAGTGGCAGAGTTGGGATTCAAACCCAGGTAGTCTGACTGTAAATCACTATTCTTGAGCACTAGCCCTGACTCCCTACCTTGGTGGCCACACTAAGTCCCTCTCATAAGGAATTTCTGGCATTGCCATGGTAGGGCGGGAGTTCCTGTGTCTTCGGGGTTAGACAGGGTCTGAGGTGCTCACCTGCCAGGTGCAGCTGGCCTGTGCCCAGATCAGCTGCCAGCCCATGGTGTCCCCAGGACTTAGCTTGGAGTGGGTGGCTTCCTACACAGGCTTCCAGTAGCATCCATGCCACAGTCAGTTGCAAGGCCCAGGCCAAGCCATTGGGTTGAATGTGGCCCCGGCAGGCCATGTCCACCTGAGATGAGAGCCAGCTGGAGTGTGGTGGTGAGGCTCAGCTGTACCTTTCTGGGAGCTCAGGGTGGCACCTTCCCTGATGCATCCCCAGGAAGCAGTGCCAGACAGAGTAGGGGTGGGGCAGCAATGGCCAAGGACTTTCAAATCCCAGGGGGCCACCAGGGCCTGCCTCTGACCCAGGAGCCCTCCTCCCTTCAGACCCATGCCCCTCCATCCCTTCAGGCTCAGGTGCCACCCCCTTAGCTGAGACCCTGGTGGCCCTCCCGTCTCCCATCCCGCAGGATCTCCCACCTTGTTAGCCTTCAAGGGACTTCTTTCCTCGGAAACAAGGGGACCGCCTGGTCCCTTCCAGTCCCCCTCTCCTGTGCAGTAATTCCTCCCTCTCTTCTACCCAGTCTCCTCCCTCCCTCACGATCCCTGCTGGCCCCTCTCACGGTCACCTTCTCTCTGCCCACAATCGGCTTAGGGACTGCTACCCAGAGCTGGGCCTGTGGGACCAAGCTTGGTATGGCAGGATTCAGGTTCTGTCACCCGGGGTCCAAAAGCCCCAGGGCAGGGGAAGCTTGGGATTTGTGGAGACAAAACTATCCGCTTCCCACCTGCCCCCTGCCCCTCACCTGTTTGCTGAACTGGGCGTCTAGGGGCTGCAGAAACTCCTCAGGATCAAGTTCAGGATACGGTGGCAGCTGAAAGGGGCGTGGTTTGATGTAGGGGCGGGACTTCCACCATCCCGCCCACACTCCTGCTGATCAAAGGCCGGTGGAAGTGGGGCTGTGGTGCATATATCCAGGTGCTTGCTCTTGTGTTTGTTGAGCTTGTGGCTTAAGCTCTGTGTCTGTATGTGTGGGAAGTGTGCGTGTGTGTACACACCAGGGTGTGTTTGTGTGGCCTGTGTGTGTTAGGTGCACCTGTGCGTCTTTTGTTTTTGTGGCTATGTATGTGTGTTGTTTGAGGGTATGTTTATGTGCTCTCGGTTGGGTGTGTGTGTTTGTGTGTGTGTTCACATCTGGATAAGGAGAACGATGCTACGTGTGTGCAATTGAGTAAAACTAAGAGTCATAATAAATGTGGGGGGGGGGATGTATGATCTGGGTAGCTGTCCCTGAGAAAATGCAGCGGGGAAGTTAGTGATCAAAGATAGTTGACCTAGCACTCTGGAAGGCCGAGGCGGGAGGATCACTCAAGGTCAGGAGTTTGAAACCAGCCTGAGCAAGAGTGAGACCCCGTCTCTACTGAAAATAGAAAGAAATCAATTGGCCAACTAAAAATATGTAGAAAAAATTAGCCGGGCATGGTGGTACATGCCTGTAGTCCCAGCTACTCGGGAGGCTGATGCAGGAGGATCGCTTGAGCCCAGGAGTTTGAGGTTGCTGTGAATTAGGCTGACGCCACATCACTCTAGCCCAGGAACAGAGTGAGACTCTGTCTCAAAAAACAAAAAAAAAGGTAGTTGACCATGAGTGTTGACCATGAGTGAACAAGGGGTGTTGTCATGTGCTGAACAGAGTGTGTATGTGCATGTGCACGCTTCTGTGTCCTTCCTCATTTTCTGGAATATGTACCCCTTGTGAACAGTCCCTCAATTCATCCATTCATTTAACAAACATTTATTGAGCACCTACTGTGTGCTGGGTTCTGGGGATGCAGTGGTGAACAAGATGCGGAAATCTCAACCTTCAGACAGCTGACATTCTAGGGAGAGAATCAGATGAGAAAAATACTCCTGCCGTGGGTATGTGGGTGTGAGTCCATGTGTTGTGTTGAGAGAATAATGTGTCTGTGTGTTGGGTCAGAATTTGTGTGCAACTAGGCATCCCTTGGTTTTGGGTCATGTAGGTGTGCCTAGGATAGTTGAATGTATGTGTTTGTGTGTGTATGAATGTATGTATGTGTTTCCTAAGTATGAGCTTTGCAGAGCGTGAGTTTATGTACATATGTGTTTGTGTGTGTCTGTGTTTGCCGAGTATTTGCAAATGTGTACATAGGTTTTTGGGTGAGTCTGTGTTGAGTATGTGTTTGTATGTGTGTGTATTTGCAGAATGTGTGGGTCCATGTTTTGGGAGTATGTGTATGCCGAATGTGTTTGAATATGTGATATTGTGTGTCTGCTGAGTATATATATGTTTGTGTGTCTGTGTTCATGTGTTTGCAATGTGTGCACGTGGTTGTGCTTGTAGAGTGTGCATATGTGATTTTGTGAGCAGTGTGACCAGCACCACAAATCTGTCTCCCTCTCATCTCAGGATATGGCAGGGTTTTTGTCTATCTCTTTCTTTGCTGTGCCCCAAGATTCCAAAGCACTACACTGCACACTGTAGTTCCTCAATAAGTGGTGAGTAAGTGAATGAATCAGTAGATACTGTCTCTGGGTCCCTCTGTGGACACCCAGCCATGTCCTTGGCGGTGACAGTAAACAAAACCTGTTGGACCTAGCCTTCTCCTGGTCCATCTTGAGGTGCTCCAGGGTGTTTGTGGGTCAGATCTGTTCAACCTCTGGGCTGTGCCTCCCGCCAGACCCTGCACACCCCTTCCTCTCCTCCCCTGACCTCAGCCCCCAACCCTGCGCTTGGATTTCAGCACCGCGGACAGGAGCGCACGAGACCAGCACCACGGAGAGCTCCCGCGGAGTCGACGCCAGACCGGTCTACGCGAGCGGAGTCCGACCACGGACCGCGAGAAGTTCGAGCAAGTCGCTGAGCGAGATGGCCACGGAAGCATACAGACAAACGTGTATAGAGAGACAGAGACCGAGGAGATGACTGGCAAAGGTGCAGAGATGAGGCGACAAGCTCTCAGGGAAAACCCAGACTCGGTCTCTGCAGTCCCATCGCCCAGCAGGGGTCGCTCTCGCCCAGCGACCGCGCCCTCCAGGGCCTTGGGGCCGCGACCCTTGGGAAGTCCTGCGCTGTTTCCAGCCCCTCCCCTCCCCCCCCCAGACTTGGAGTGGGGGGGCCTCGGACACTCTCCTCTCCAACTCCGGGAAGTTTGGTCGGTTTGGCCTTACCTGTGTAGACGCTGGGGGGCGAGGGGGGGCCTGAAAATCGCTTCGACTGCCCCCCTCTCTAACCACCAACTAATCGCTCCTATAAATACAGCCGGCCTGGCCTGGCTCCTTAATCCTGACCGTGAAGGAGGGGTCGCTAGAGGGGCTGCAGGGTTCCCAAAGGAGGCTGATTTCTGGGGGGAGGCGGGGACAGTGTGTGTGTGTGTGTGTGCGCGTGTGTGTGTGATATGCATGTATACTCATGTAGATGATTTTCTGAGGGCGCGTGTCCCTCAGGAGACCCGAAGGATGGGTGTCCTCAGTGAAAATGTCACTCTGTAAAAATGTTCCTCTTGGCATGTGGAGGTCTTGTGGGTGGGGACAATTCCCCACAGAGACTATGTTTCTTAGAGGTCTCTCATTGGGGGTATCTCCCCTGGGGTCTCCATGTGAAATGTCACCCATGGGATCTTTCTCTGGGAGAATGCCTCTTCCCATAGGGGAAGGGCGTTTGAGAATAAATGTCACCTCCCAGAGATCATCTCTCTCAGGAATGATTTTCAGGGTAGGGGTTCTTGATTGGAGCTGCTGAAGCTGTCTCCCCTGGGAATGTGTCTCCTCCAGGGGGTCTCCAGGGCGGCGTCTGCATAGGGGTGTATCTCAGGGAGAATGTCTCCCTTGGGGTGTTGCTGGAGTTGGGGGCCTACCCGTGAGCATGTCTCTCTTCATAGGGGTCCCTCGGTAGCCCGGCTCCCACGGGGGCACCTGGAGGCCCCACCCCCGCCCGCCCCTCCCCCTCCCCCCCAGCGCGGGCCGCGGTGGCCGAGGCCGGGCGGGCGCCCAGACGCAGTGACGGCGCGGGGCCCGCCCCACTTCGCTCCGCCCCCGCCACCCCCCCCAGCCGCCGCCGCCGCCGCGGTCCCCGCGGCTTCTCCCTCCCTCCCTTCTCCCTCCTCCCGCCGCCGCTGCCGCCGCCGCCTCCCTCCTCCCTCCCCGGGGCCGAAGCCGCCGCCGCCGCCGCCGCCGCCATGGACGATTCGGGCCTGATCCGCCGCCGGAGGCTGCAGGTACCCGGCAGCCGGGGCCCCGGGCGGAGGGGACGGAGTCGGCGCCCCGGGGCGGGGCTGGGCAGGAGGCGGGAGAACTTGCGCTGGGGTCGGCGCGGGCGCCCCTCCCACGGCCTCGGGACGCTCCCTGCGGGGAACGCGGTGGCCGCGCGTCCCGCGGCGCTAGGGACCCCGCCCCTCCGGCGCCTCCGCCCGGCGATCCCGGAGCTGATGGAGGGAGGGGGTGCAGCCCAGCGCTGCCCCTCGAGGGCAGCCTGAGGGGCGCCTGGCCCGCCCCAGGGCAGAGGGCTGAGGCCGAAGTCATCGTCCTGGCTCCCGGCCAAGCTGGGGGCGAGGGGGCGCGGAGCAAAGTTATTGCCCCAGGGCTCGCGCCCCTCGGGGCCGCCGGCGCCGCCGCGGCAGTAAACATGTTTGTGCGGCAGCCTCGCCACTCACCACCCAGGAGCCCCTTAGCGAGCATGGGGTGCCCTGCTCCCTCCATGCACCCGCCCGGGCACCGGGATTCTTCCTACTGCCCCAATTGGACAGGCACCTAGACAGCCTCCTCCCTCTTCATTCTGCCCCCTCCACTACAACGCACCCCCCTTCCCCGCCGCGATCCCCAAGTCCAGCCCAGCTTGTGGGTGGGCGGGAGCGATTTTTAGCTCCTTGCAGCCTCAGAAGATGCTGGTCGCGAGGCTGCGCAGGCGCAGGAGGCGTGGGTCCACTGCACGGAGTGGGACACTGAGGACTGTTGTCCAGTGTGGGGAAGGCGGGGACAAACCCAGGCGTCAGGAGCTCCCACCTCTCAGGGGTGAGGGAAGGACTCCGGAGCTGATGAGGGTCGCCTGCTCGCGTCTTTGGCTGCGCTTCTGAGGCGTTAATCTGGAGGTTCGGTGTTGTCCCCAAACGGACCCCAGAGGGGAAAGTGATGAAGGCTTTGCCCCAAGGCCTGCCTGGGGTCTGGCCCTTCTGAGCTTCCTTGGAGCTCAGCCCTGGGCTTGGTAATCTGGAGTTTAGGTAAAACTAAGAGTGCTCCCAGCCTCAGGCTACCTCCCCAGCCTGGAGCGTGGGAAAAGAGAACACAAACCCTCACGTAGGGCCTGGTGCGTTTCTGGAGTCCCCCAATCCCCCATTCCCGAGGTTGGAGACCAGGGGGAGAGGCGATTGGTCAGTGCAGCAGGAAAAACGGTGGTCAGACGCAGGAAGGACTTCCCAGGCACATGGATAATCCTGGAGCCAGACATAGGTTGGAAAGCTAATTTGCTTCCAAACAGAGTCCACATGGCCGGATCTAGGAATTTAGGCCTCTCCACGGGTTCTCTCCCCCTCCCAGGGTCGGGTTCCGAGAAAAGGGAGGAAGCTTCTTTGGCAAAGCTAGAACAAGTCCTGTAGCAGGCAGACAGGGTCCGCGCCATCGGGTCCCTGGGAAACGGGGAAAGGGGCGTGGCCTGCTTGAGGTGTGTCCCCGCCCTCCGGGCCAGCGTCGACTCCCATTGGCTTAGCGCCACGCGGGACTTCAGATTCCGGTTGAAGGCCCCACCCCCAACCAAGGAGGCTTCCACCCACCCGACTTACCCAACGCGGGGGGCGAGCTCTAGGCTGGAGACCCCGGTAGCAGTCCTGTCCCCACCTCTTCCCTTCTGGCAGGGTTAACCACTTCGCTGCCCGGATACGCCCACAACCTCCGGCGCGACCCCCTTAGGAACTGTCCCATCACCCTTGCGCGCCTGAGGATCCCCTGTGTGCAGTTGGGATCCTAGACACAGACAGCCTCCCTGGTTCGAATGCCCTGTCCGCAGTGCCATCCATTAATCCGGGGAGGGAGAAGGAGCATCTCCGCAGAGCGGCTCTGCAGCTGGGGCTGAAAGTGGCGTCTGTCTACACTGCCGCCCAGGATCCGAACTTCTGCCGCTCCAATTTGTCCCTTTGTTCGACCCTAGAATGTTTGGAGGCGCCAGCGGATGGGGCTGGGTTCGAGGACTTCTCTGGGTGGTGCTTAAATGTCTCCCAGGGACTTACCCTCGAAGGCTGGGTTACCCGGGACTGGGGCTCCCGGGTTCTGTGCCCGGAAATCCAGGTCTTGGTTTCTCTTGGGCCATTGCGGACGCGCCGCGCGGTTAGCCGGCCCGAGCTGCAGCTCATTCACCGCGATCCTGCAAAGACAGAGGGAAAACCTGGCGTGGATTTCCGGTCACCCGTGGCTCGGGATGACAAGGCTGCCCTTTGGCCCCACCCATACGTCTGTCCTTTGCACATGGGAGTGGGAGGACACTCTGGCCCATTCTCTTCCATACAGCATGTCCCTCCATAATAATTCCTGTTCCCATGATTTAGTATTTACTGAGTGCTTACTGTATGCTAGGCACCACGCTAAGGTGCTGGGCACCTGCATCATGTCACAGAATCCTCTAGGAGACCCGGGACTATTGGAAGGGCATTTGCCAAGGTCGTAAAAGGCAAAATTGAGATTTGAACCCAGGGCTTTCGGAGATCCTGGAAAGGATCTAGAACATCCTGTTTCCCTGTTTGGAGTCCCCTCCAAAGACCTTTTGAAACTCTCCCCTAAATCTTTCCACTTGGGCAGGTGCGGTGGCTCACCTCTGTAATCCTAGCACTCTGGGAGGCCGAGGCGGGAGGATCACTTGAGGTCAGGAGTTCAAGACCAGCCTGAGCAAGAGCGAGGCCCCCATCTCTATATTAAAAATAAGAAAAAAATATTAAAAATGAATAAATAAATAAATAAATAAATCTTTCCACCTGCAGCCGCACCCAACCTCAGCCTGTGGATACACAACTGGCTGGAAGGTGGTGCCTTTTGTCCTCATTGCTGTCCTCGGAGAAGGACAAGTCCTCGGCCAAGACCCTCTAACTCCTGAGCCCTGTAATGACTTCCTGAGTGCTTGACAAATGGAACACGATCTTCTTCAAATGTGGATATAAGTAAAGTTAATAGCCACCAGTTATTAGCGTTGCCATTAATGAAAAAGGCCACCTGACCACCTGTCAGTTTGGCCTAACTACCTACCACTCCCGGACTCTGTGAATCTGGCTGGGAGTGGAGCAGATCCGTTGGGGTGTAGAGTAGTCATTCATTCATTCACTCATTCATTCATTCAACCTTTTGTGCTTGAACATGCTAAGCTCATTCCTGCCTCCAGACCTTTGCCTTTGCGGCTCTCACTACATAGAATGCTCTCCCCACAGACCCTCCCATGGCTGGCTCTTATCTTTCAGCAACCAACTTAAAAGTCACCTCCACAGGTCACCCTCTCTGACCATGTTTCCCTGTCCCAGCCACTGTCCATTACATCACCCTGTTTAAGTTTATTCATAACACACATTACCGTCTAAGTTGATCTCATTAACTTCTACATTAATTGTGTTTAGTGTCTGCTTCTCCCTCTAATGCTAGTCCCCAAAAGGGCAGGAACTTTTATTTTATTCCCTGCTGTGTCCCCAGGGCCTAGTTTAGAGCCTGGTATACAGTAGGTGCTCAAGAAATATTTTTCAAATACAGACTCCTGTTTCACTTGCACGGAACACTGAGATGCCAACTC